TTCCATCAGGTGACCTCTGCCTCCTTTTCCCATAAAAAAAATACATTGCAGTTTTATTTATAACTAGCTGACGCCCGCTGTGCTTTGCTTCACCTAGAAAATCTTACGTGCAACCGATTATCAGTTCGACCCATAGGTCTTCTACTGGTACACCGCGTACGATTTTGTTACAACTTCGAGATAATATATATGTTCTTGTTATAGCATTCATTTTAGAGGCAACAACTTGGGTTTTCTTTGGGTTATATGCTCATTGGCCAATACTTTGACAAGTAATTTGACACTAGCTTAGAATCTCGTCCCTCGATGGTCTGCCCATTTGAGGTTTGACTGTGAGCCTGCGAAAACATCCGTCCCTTTGAATTGTTCATATCATGGAAGTGTTCGACTTGAAAACACCCATAATAGTGTTATTTGACCAAATTAACACGTAAGAACTCAATTTTGAAAGGTTGGTCACATGTTGTGTTTGTCCTCACGTTTATAAGTTGAATAAATAAATATTATAATGAATGTATAATAGAAATGTAAATTGTCCATTAAACTTTTATTTAAATTTCATCTGGAGTGCATATAAATATTTAAGATTATTATATGTTTATTGTTTTTATTGCCATTAATCTTAAATTTACTTTTATACCTGAAGATTTATATCTTACCGTCAATTTCAGATTACCGATGATTTATTGCATTGACATAATTATGTTAAAATTCCTAACTTCGCACTTTTTCCTTTTGTTTCGATGAAATGTGTTCCAAATAATTTACGTATAATCAAACGAATGCTTAATAAGTTAAACATGTTTAATACATTAAGCGCTAATTTGAATATATTTAAAATTGATGAAAAACTAGGTAATACCATATTATTATCTGATCATTTCCGAGTTTTAAAGGTTATGTACAAACGGTACAGAATACTTAGAAAACACCCAACCCATATTATAACCTCGTATTAAACAAATCGAACGAACTAGCGCATTTCCTTACAAAAACCAAGCACAATATAATATGTGTAAACGTAAATAAATTTCACTCCCAGGTTCGCACTTACTTTGGTTGTTATTGATTCTATTCGCAATTAATACGAGTAAAAAGCTTATTGAATTACACGTTCACCAATGTATGGATACACGTGCCGTATTGGCAAAACGACATTTTTCTATAACCAAGCAATGGAACTTTATTTAAGCAAAGGAAACGCTACGGTTGAATTTTATCAAGAAATGATTGTCTACAATTATAACTACATACAACTGTTACAAACGCACTATTGAAATAGTGATGAACACGTTTCATAATTTTGTGGCATTCTATTTATACGTCTTATTTAATTAACGATTTCTTATTGACGAGAATAGTGCAAGGTTAATTAATACTTCACGGATATTATCGCGTTTCATTTCGTTTTTATTAAATGTCCGACGTTTCGAACATGCAACGGCATCCATCGTTATCTGCCATGTCGTTGGGATTTAAAGAGTTTCAGTTAAACACGTCATATTCAATTTAACGCGTATAACGTGTTCATGTGTTTCAGCGGCAGCGGCGGATTGCCCTATAGACCGAGTAAATTAGTGGCAAATTAGTGAGATTTTTTTAGTAGTCGTGCCTTCCGCCTCTCGCTCTTTCACGATTATCCTAGGCGATATTCCGTAAAAATTGTAATAAATCAAGCGGCACATTTATTAGTATAGGGCCGCATTTAGAGGTCTGGAGGCCTCGGGGCACCAAAGCAGTGGAGGCCCCAGGGCTGTAGCCCGGTTGCCCTCCCCTAAATCCGGTCCTGTATGAGAGGCTTCATGATCAGATGTCATTTAGACTCGTTGTTTTTTATTTTAATTTCATTTTACTTCGTTTAATTGTTTGTGCTTTACAGCGGGTAGGGCGCCGACAATCGTTTCATGTGTCTAGGGCGACCAACGGATCAAACCTGCCACTCAGCTGTATTAGGGCCACAAAGCAGCTTTTGCCTTTGCAAGAATGGGCAGCCTCATCCTGGGCAGTATCACGACTTCACGGAAGACCAGCGTGAGTTGGAAGTGTTATGGTTTTACGGGATTCGCTTTTTTTTAAAGGTGGTAAACTGTTGAATGTTGTTGTAGAGTGAAAAATCGGTGGTGACACGGACTGACAGGTCGCCAAGAGAATGATCTTTTTTTTTTTTTTTTTATGCGAAAAGTTGTCAAACGAGCGGACGGTTCACCTGATGTTAAGTGAATACCGCCGCCCATGGACATCTGCTACACTCGAGGGTTACAGATGCGTTGACAACCTTTTGAAAATTGGGCTCCGGCTACCTCACTCACCAGACGAAACGCGAAAGTATTTGTCATACTTCCACTTTACGCCGGTCTTCTGTGAGGTCGTGGTACTTACCCGGACGGGCCTGCCCATTCGTGCAACAGCCGAGGCTGCTGCGTGGCCCTACCACCGTAAACGTGGCCAGGTCTCATCAGGGTTCCTATTTTTACCTTTTGACGTACGAAACCCCAAAAAGTAAGACGACTCAATAATTGTAATGTATCTAGTATCTTGTATTAACTGATGTTTTTGCTTTCAGTCCCGAGACTATTAAAGTTTCATCTGACGCAGAACCGGTGGGTTAGCCAGAACCCACGGGTTTGGGCCCTCCGCTGTGGGTAGGGCCGCGCATGTGCTCATGCAACGTATCTATGTACTTACAATAACTTCTTTATTATTCTTTTTTCAATTGCCCAACCTTATCATTATCCGATTAATGCATGATCATATTTCAATTGGCAAGTGTGAATGCAATTCATAATTGCTCTATCAAAGCGACGCTGAGCGATGATTCAGTCATTGGCAGAAAAAAGGACGAACAGTTTTGACCGTCGCGGGAATCGAACCCATGTCTTCGCTTTAAGCACTAGCTAATCCGCTGATTGCCACATAGGCGAAAATCGTAACATCTTATACCAACATTGCTTTTTCGCATTTTCAGCAATGCTTGGCGCATCAATTATGCATACAAAAAAATTACAATATCGTTATAGAAAGATAATTCGAACGAGAGATGTCGTCGCCATTGCTATATGAAATTAAAATTTTTAATAGTGCTAATTTCTGCGCTTCTCGCATCGACGAAAAAATTTTCGTCCTTTTCCTAAAAATTTTAACACAGTATTAGAGATTTGGATGAAAGAAAAAAAATATTACAGAGATTACAACGTTTTCCTATCGTTATTATAATTATTTCGTTTTTAAAATTGTAAATAACTAAAGAATTAAACAATTGATAACTAACTAATAAGAAAATAACTAAAGATTAGCCAATTCGACATAAGGAAAACAATAATAGTAATTTAACTATTTATAGTGCCAATCTCTGCACATAAGATAATAAAAGAAAGTAACATAGTAAATAAAATGGCAATATAACAATATAATATAAAGTATAACGTAATATAAAGTATAATTAATGTTAATGTTACAGCATTAACATTAATAATATTTTGAAAAGTTGTCTCGCCAAGCAAAAAACAAAACAACATAATTTTTTAGAAATTCAAATTGTTTATAGTGCTAATCTTTGCACTTAAGATTGAACATTAAAATATGTAGAAAAAGTGCGAAAAGATTGTCGCCGCTGTGGGAATCGAACCCACGTCTTCGGCATTCGCGGCCTGACGGTCTAGCCACTGAGCTAAACGGCTGATTGACCGACCGACGAAAATCTTAACGCATTCTTCTACATTGTTTTGTTAGCATTTGAAGCAATGCTTGGCGCCATTTATTGTTATATCCTTTCCAGCATACAAACAATTTCGAATATCGTTTTACAACGATAATTCGAACGAGAGATGTCGCCATTGCTTTTTTAGAAATTTAAATTGTTTATAGTGCTAATCTTTGCACTTAAGATTGAACATTAAAATATGTAGAAAAAGCGGCGACAATCTTTTCGCACTTTTTCTACATATTTTAACAACATAATTTTATCACTTGCTCAGATATTCCTTGATATCATAAAAGCAACGTGTAAGCAGCCAAGTTTTGAGCTTTCTTATTTTTCTCTATAGTGTCGCACGTTATAGGTCAGCCATTAAAATTTCAACTGATAATTTTATTGGGAAAGAGATTTGAACTCAGGTTTCTAAGCTACCACGGCTCTCGAAATCTATTAGGCGGACAGCAATTGCTGAAGTACCAACTTCCTCATTACTATGCAATTAGATTGCTCGGGGACACGGCAATTACAGAGCAGCGACCAACCTGGCTTCCGACTGTTCCCCTCTCGCTCCCTCACGTCCAACATCTTCCATTTCTATCTATCATCAACCGCAAAACGACTGCGTCCTCTTCCAACTCCCGCCTGAAATTTTGTCTCGCTTACACGATAAATACGCAAATTTTACTTAATTGAAATAGTGGGGTGGAATAATTTTCTTCCATTGTTCATCAGGATCTTCCTGATTCAATTAATTTGATAGACCTCTATACAAACACATGTGCACGTACTCGTATTTTTGGTAACATCATGTGATGATATCTTCGTGTAGCAAAAATATCTGTTTCTCTCCACTCCACCCTTAATGTGTGTTTGGTTTTTCTCGTGGCGTGTAATTTACTGTTAGCCCGGCAGATTTGATGGCTTCGGCGGAAGGGGTTGTAGGAACAACATTCCGTTCCTCTGCACTCTGCGAATTTATACTATCCAACGAATAGATTTGCCGCCAAAACTTGTGTTATATAACCGGTTTCAATATTCCATGTACTATTCGATTACTAGATTTAGCTACTAGCGAAAGGTATTTGACAACTTACCTAATAATATTTACAAAATTCTATTTTCAGTAACTGTAGATAGAATATTGAAACCGGCCGTAAACGCATTAGTTTTCTTTTATTTCATCTGTGGCGGTGACGCCGTTGCTATGGTAACATTAAACAGCGCTTACCACTTTTCGAAAAGACTTTTGTTTTGCTTTACTTATTAGTTTCGCACTTTATATTGAATATTATTTTAATTATAAAAAATGGAACCAATGGACGAGGATGAGGGATTTGGGGCAGCGATTGCCATCGGATCCGAAACAACAGAGGCTGAAAGAGAATTCGCAAAGGTTACAATTTAAGTTACCGCTTCCCCGGTAGTAGTAAATAACGTAATTTTAATAACCCATGTGAATAATATACAGGTTGTATGTTATTTATATGTTACGTATTTGTTACTGTATTATAACTCGTTGACCGTTTGCTCGCTTATAAATATTTACGTTGGAACGACCTTGCATATCAACATCAATAATTTTTATGGTATATATGCTATGGTAAATTATAACGTTGATGTCCAGTACTTCTACCGGTTACCACATTTTAATTAGCAGTTGTAAACATATCGCCCATAATTTTATATCGAAGTAGGTCGTAGTAACTTGAAACAATAGAGGTTTTAACTGATTTGGTCGATAAATAATCTATGTACCTTTAAAATTACATTATTCATCTACGTTCAATTGATTTCTGATAACAATTGTTTACACATTGTCTCTTCAAATATGCGATTAGTACATGTAAAACACCAGGACAGAATGACATTAACCAACCACGCCTCTCGCTTTAAACAAAAATTTAAGAAATATTATATATAATATTTAAGACACATTTTGACACGACGTTCTCTAGCTCCAAACTAAGCAACGCTTATACTATGGATACTAGATGACTGATAAACATACTTAACAATAAACATACTTTTCTTTTTTAAATAAATACATATTATACATATACAGCGTGTCGTTACAACCGCGACAATGAATGAACACACATATAGAGGATAACTTTTGAAAATTAATCATTTACATTCTTTAAACATCAATGTTTACCGAGTTATGAAATTTTACAAAATAAAAATTTTTAGAACACCCTTACGTATAAAACTGTAACGCAAAGTTCATTTGTAAAGGTCACACAGCATATGAATCGGTGGAATGTATTTAAAAGAGACAAACATACTGTTAGAAGGAGAGACTTGTAATGCGACGCTGTGGCAACGAATGAAAAAGTCTCTGAATGTATGAATCAGTCAGTTGTAGTTGTATAGGATGTTATAAATTTTGTTTCTTTTTTACTTAATTAGTTTGTTCGAAAAATATTTTTTTAATTATGGATTTTTTTAACGTTAATATTTTTTTTGTGATTATTGGCAAATAGCGTTAGACGTGTGTTCATTTATTGTCGCGGTTGTAACGACACGCTGTATAAATACCCAGACACTGGAAAAACACTATGTTCGTCACACAATGTTTTCCCAGTAGTGGGGATCGAACCCATATCCTCTTCGCAAGAGGCAGGTTTACTACCCACTACGCTAATCGGGTCGTCAAGACCAACCAGTTATGCGTGCAATAGATGTGGAGGTTCCAATGGCCAGGGAGCCCATGTTTTCTCTCAAGAACGGACATGTTGGCTTTCAGTACTTCGATGGTTCGTTCATTACTTGAAGAATCCATGTTTCGTCGTCTCTGTTTAGGTTCTGGAACAGTTGCGCGAGGCGGAGGGTTTGAAGTTATACGCCGACGTGTATACGAAACTATACGACTCGTATTACAAGCTTAAAGAAGACAATGGCGAGCAAACGGAACAAATCAACAACCTTAAGGTAAGTATCACGCCGTAGTGATGGTGCTAAGAAAATCATCTCTACATTCTCTATTCTGATATACTTTCATACATTAAAAGAAAATCATCTATATTACCTACGATGATATATTTCCATTCATTAAACTCGAAACGTCTTGAAATAACAGATTGAGCTATGACGTCCGGGGACGTTTTCTATTTTAACCGATTATTGAAGGGGAGGGGGGATGTGTTACATCCTTTTCTAAATAAATAAATAAACAAATAATAGATATATTTTTTAAATATTTCAACAGCACGCATCGCCATATGCCGTGTCTATACAGTTTCTACAACTGGACTACTTCAAGTCGATCTCGATGCAAATAGGAAACCGGTCACTGGCTGCTACTTAACGGTAGAAGCTCTTTCTACTGTGTTCTGTTGTATAAGAAGAGCAACATATTTATTTATTTTAAGAGAGCTAATGGGCTTCGGATTAACTTAATACTTAATGGCTTGGGATTAACTCATTCTCCGGGCGCTCGCTGTTAATTCAATATACTTGAGCATTGAAATTGTTAATTTTAAGTGCTGACTGTCTCTGACGGCTGAGTGGTTAGGGAAACCTGCATATTTTTAAAATAATAACAAATGAAATATTTCGGTGACATGTAAAGGCAAAATATTTCGAAGATACGTGAAGTCCGCCAATCCGCAGTGGAGCCGCGTGGTGGACTATGCCCTGATACCCTCGGTATAGAGGAGGCATTCGCCCAGCAGTGGGACATGTATAGGCTGTTACTTTATGTAAAGTCCGCCAATCCGCGGTGGGGCCGCGTGGTAGTCCACCACCCTCTGTACAGAGGAAACCTTAGCCCAGCAGTGGGACACATAGGCCGTTGCTTTACGTGGTGGTGGTTTTACGTTTACTTTTGGTGGTATGCACACAAGGGGTCTCCATAATCTGCCCTCGAATTGTCCTTCACTTAATCGACGGTTGCAGACGAAACTTGGCCGATTCGACGACACCGTGTCGGACTACATCAGCGAACTGTCAGACGCCCAGAAGACTATCGAGCGACTCAACGCGGAAATCGGTAAACCCTGAATTGGGATTCCTTTTAGAGTGAGATGGCGACATTTTTCAGGGTGTGAGTTCGACCCCCCACTATTGGAAGTTGTTAGTGTGATGAATATAATATCTTTCCAGTCTTTAGTTGTTCATATATGTATAGTATGTATTCATTTACAAAAAATATGTTTAGGGATGTTTATCAGTTACAGTCAATTCCGAACTAAGCAAAGCTATGGGTATTATCCATAGCTTTCCGTAGTTCGGGATTAGACAAGGTTGTATTAGAATGTATACATGAGCGTTTACTTTATTTTTTTAAAGATGAGGCAAGAGCACTTGCGGACGCAATGCACGCTCGCGAACTCGCCAGCGTGGAGAGCTTGGAAACCATGAAGAAATCCCTCACCAGATTGGAGAAGGAACTGGACGCGAGGAAACGCGCGGGCGACGACGACGCGTGAGTACCAAGTCTTTCGGCTGCGAAATCCAGTCTAGTAGACCAGATTCCCTCGTACATAGGCTTTTTAGATCAAATCTCTAATCGTCTATCCAAGCTGCCTAACCTCGTTATCTGCCAATCCAAACTATCCGAATGGAATTATATTTACGCAAATGTATGCATCCCATCCCTAATAAATATTAATTTACTTAGCATATCAAAGTGTTGCTTTAAATATACCTAGATTTGGAGTTGTAAAAACCATTCCAAAAATTGTAAAGGAACGTTTGTGTGATGAAGATTAAAATTATATTAGTGATAACTTCATTGATTACACACTCTGAGAAGTGAATTGATAGCTCCAGGTTCTTTCAATTGGACTTGTGTAGCAAATATATTTTAACGTCAAAAACTTGTAAAAAAATTCTCCCTCTGAGTTTCTTTCGCCGGTTCTTCTCACTTTAGTGGCTTTTATTTTACGAACCAGTAGTAGTATTTTGAGAATCAAAAAAGAAGTGTAATGCCTCTATAAATATTGGAAAAATATATTTTACCAAAAAAGCTTATGAATGTGAGTGTATAAAAATAAAAAACTTGACATCGATGTTCGAAAACAATATAATTGAGCTATTCTGATTGAAGAAAGGTAGTCGGAGGAAATTTAACCAAGACTGTCTATTCACTGTTGAAGATTGCATCCAGGGCCAAGATATATAGAACTGAAAATAACTCTTTGTCCAAACTGACTTATTTTAAAAGTAGTTTTTGAATATTTTCTCTCATTATTTTGATATTCCCAGAAAGGCTCAGAATAGTAAAGATAGTTCAAGTGAGCTACTTGGTATAGAAATTTAGATTAGTTAGAAGAGATGGAACTCTGAAGCGTACCTGATACATAACTCAGAAATAAGTATTGAAATTTAAAAATACCTTTTTCAACTTGACATGTTTTAAAAACGTGTACATTGAGTTGTATTGATGAATCCGTAAAATTCCAAGTAACTATTTCTGATCTAAATGAGTTTTTTAATAGTCTACCTGAATTGCTACCGTTGTTCACCTTAATTAGCCCGATCTTTGCGACCCCTGAAATGACGGAAAATATATCAGTAAACAACACGCAATTCTCGTTTGGGAAAACGTGCTTAGGGAAACCCATTTTGATAACACATTACACTATTGTAATGTCAAATGTCATTACATAACTGCAAAGCATGCACGCAGTAATATATAATAGTCATCACACACTGGGTAATCCCTGGATATAAAATGCATGTTTATAATAGGGAAATTTTTAATGGTATTTACAATCCTCGGTACTGCACGGATGGCCTTTGGCAATAGGTCAAAGGCCATCATCCAGTGACTGCCGCTGTTGCCACATAGATAAATAATTGAATGTTGTAATTCGTTACAGTTTAGGGTCAAATAGACCTAAGGAAAAGTAAAGGAAAGCTGTATATGTTTCACTGCTGGGCACAGTCCAACACGCGACCAAATGCTGATTATTACTTTTGTTTCATATTATTTCGAAAATATACAAGTTCCCTAACTTTGTTTCCCTTCACCGCTGAGCACGAGATAAGTTAGCGTTTGAAGTTATCATTTCATTTGTGCCGGCACCGAGATTGGAACTGTGGTTGCTACAGTTCATTGAAGTAAAAGCGCGCTATCACGACTCCGTTGTGTTTTTGTCAACGTTTTGCTATTTGTGATTACTTATAGATCATAATTAATTCATTCATAATTTTAATTCTTATTTTTGTCTAAATCTTTATTAATTAATAAAGTCATCGCACCTACCAAGAGACAATGTCTCTCAAAATATGTACCTGTGATCATATTTAAGCAGTTCTTGTGTTCGTAAACGTTCTATGCTTCGTCATCGCATTTTCGACATTAAGGTCGCGCGTTCGAATCCCGATATTCTCTTCACTTACTATCACGTGAACCATACAGCTCAACCCACGGACGTTACAACACCAGATTTCAAAATGCGTTGTCAAACTTTAATGTAGAAGGGTCTCTCCTCTTGAAGGCGTTAATAGTATCGATTGTTAGTGATTCGTCCGTTTGCTATTATGTGTCCTTAACTCTCTACTCCGTTTGTAAATATGCAGACGAGGAATTGTTTGACTATCACAGGACTCCAACTATGACAAGTCGGAACTTCCGTTTGATATTATATCTATGGCAGTGAACGCAAATAAAAATGGAAGCATTATTTTCACTCCAAAATGACACAATGAAAAACTATACCGTGACGGTGCGTGATTTATAAACCGTACCGCGAGGCTTTTTTAGGCATGTAGACTAAGTTGAATTAAAACCTAAGTTCGTTTTTGTTTGACGGCGCGTGATAACTGTCAGTGAGAGTTGTGGTGCTATTTATTAACATTGAATTTTATGAAGGTGCGGCTTATCTACGGTCATTTGCGCGTGCAACAGCCATACACGCAATACATGCAAAAAGCTTTGCATACCCTGTCGACCCATACAAATATGCCCTAAAACACTGAAACCTACGAGTTATAATTTATAATTTTTTTTTGAGTTTTCGCGATTGTTTCAACTTCAAGTGGCGCGATTCGCTACGCGCGCGGTCTTTTGGTAAAACATTTTGCGGTATCCTGCCTATCTAAGAAATAACAAAAGCTTGTATTCTTTTGTTATTACTAAGATAGGCGATAGCATTTGACGGTCGCGATCGGCAGTAGAGATTATTTATTTATTTCATCTTTATGCACAAACATTTATGTACAAAGGTGGACTTGATGCCATCAGCGTTATCTCCCAGTAAACCTTGGGTTAGTGGAGAACTATAGTCCTAAAGTCTCTGTAAAAACAAGGCCTGAACCCAGCAGAACATAAATGTGGGGGGCATTTATCGCGTTATTTTTCGACGACTCGATTGGCCTAAATGCCTCTTGCGCCAGAGGGTGTGGGTTCGATCCCCACTACTGGTAAAATATTGTGTGATGAACATAGCATAATACATATTTATTTACAAAAGAAAAGTATGCTTAAGTATATATCTTTATCAGTTATCTAGTACCCATTGTACAAGCGTTGCTCAGTTTGAACTAGAAAAGGTTTTGTAAAAATTTGCCCTGAAATATATTTATATTTCTATTTTATATACATCACTAGAGGAGCAACGTCGGCGGTGAAAGAGAAGGAGAAATTCGAGAAAGAGAAGGCGCGACTCCAGGGAGAACTGGACAGCGTGAAGCTGAGGCTCACCAACGCCCTCGGCTACATCGAGGAGTTGGAGTCGAAGAACACCGCCGCCGAGGAGACCATTGCCAAGATGGAGGAGCACCTTGAAGTAAGCTAACAGTTGACAGTGCTGGCAACAGTTAAGAAACAATACTCCTGAAGCAATTCAAAAGACGACTAAAATTCACTAAATTCTCTCCAAAACTTCCTAAATGAGAAACATTTAATAAGCTTTGTTCAGTTTGAATTTCTCTACTAAAAACTTCCATCTACTAAAACGTCATCTGCGTCCAGATGGACGGACAGACAGAAAGACGGCGGAGTCTTAGTAATAGGGTCCCGTTTAAAACTTTGGGTACGGAACCCTAATAATTTTTAAACAAAAAACCGAATTTCTTAACGTCTTTAAAAGACGTGTGGCAACCAGCCGTATAGCTCTTCTTAGGAAGAAAACTTCCTAAGAAGAAAACTCCTAAGTTGGCTTCCATGTCAACAAATCATTTCCTAACCGTCTCCCGAGACGATTTCTTTCGTCATTTTCCCTTTTTGCCCCGACAGGAGCGAACGTGTTGGTTTATTTCATTTTTAACCGACTTCAAAAAAGAAGGAGATTTAAATTTTTTTATAGTGCTACTCTCTGCACATAAGATAGAACATTAAAATGTGTAGAAAAGTACGAAAAGATTGTCACCGCTATGGGAATCGAACCCACGTCTTCGGAAATTGCGGCCTGACGCTCTAGCCTCTAAGCTATACGGCTGGTTGCCACACGTCTTTTAAAGACGTTAAGATTTTCGTCGGTTCCTGTCGGTTTGAATTCGGTTTTTTTGTTTAAAAATTATTAGGGTTCCGTACCCAAAGTTTTAAACGGGACCCTATTACTAAGACTCCGCCGTCTTTCTGTCTGTCCGTCCATCTGTCACCAGACGCAGATGACGTATTACTGTTGCCGCTATAGCTAAAAATACTAAAAACCGGATAAAAAAATATTAACCGGATAAGTCGGGCTCCCAGATACATAGACATACAACAGACATGATTTTTTGGCGTGTTAATAGTTAAACGTACGGAACACTTGACCGGTTTTTTTTTGTGCACATGATCTCATGTTATGCTTGATATAATATTAAATGTTGTACATTAGTACAGCTATGTCGTAGGCAAACACTGCATGCGCTAAATTAAAAAAGTAAACAGAAAAATATTGCGTACGAATTTGCCGTAAGACAACTTAACGCGACAAATAAAAGAGATAAAAATATAGTTTACATACATCATTACTATTATTTTATATCAATATATTAATGTTTTAGGGTATTTAGTATGTGGAACGTATAATTTTTAAGAAAACAGGCTAAGAAAATCAAAACAGCGGTATCTAAATATGCATCTATACGCAGTATTCACTGAAACTTACCCTATTTTTACGATTCCGTTACCACAAAGATGATCCAACGAAGATGAAAAAGTAACTAATGAAATAGTTCCATAGTAGCTCGTCTTCTATCACCCAATAGTTGTGATAACTAATTACTTTTCCGCTATAGGCGTCGTTGCAAAGGCGGAAGCAATGTATGTGCTTTTTCTTTATTTTGTAGTCGAGCAGTTTAGTTACTTGCAATTATTTCTGCACGATTCGTTTTTTTTTTTTTTAATTCAATTGTGGCCCGAGGGACGGCGTTTACTCGGGTCGCTTCAATTCGCCGCGGACATGAACCCGTTGTAGATTTCAGAGTGTTTCATCCGAGCCACACCACTTAGTGGGAACAGTGAATATTAAGTCGAACGAGGTCTGTTCAAAAGTTAGATTGGTGGTAGATAGATAGTACTCATCAACATTCGAGATTTTGATGTATTCGAATGTCTGAATGATACCAGATTGGCGACCCGACTGGCCCAGTGCATAGTGAATCACTCTAGTCCTAAAGGATATGGGTTTGATCCCCACTACGAAAATTATGTTTTTTTATGTGAAAAGTTACCAAGCGAGCAAACGGTTCACCTGATGTGAAGTGAATACCGCCGCCCATGGAAATATGCTACACCCGAGGGTTCCAGACGCTTTGACAACCTTTTGAAAATTGGGCGCCGGCCACCTCACTCACCAGACGAAACGCGAAAGTATTATACTTCCACTTTACGCCGGTCTTCTGTGTTTTCGTGGTACTTACACGGACGAGCCTGCCCATTCGTGCAAGAGCCAAGGCTGCTGCATGGTCCTACCACCGTGTAATGAATATAGTGTTTTTTTTATATGAAAAGTTGACAAGCGAACCGGCGGTTCAGCTGATGATAAGTGATTACCGCCGCCCATGGACGTTTTCAACGCCCGTAGGGTTCCAGATGCGTTTAAACCTTTTAATAAAGTGGGCTTCTGCTACCTCAGTCGCTTGACGAAAAGTAAAAGTACAATTCTGCCACTTCACGACGGTCCATTGAGAGGCCGTGGTACTTCCCGGACGACCCTACCCATTCGTGCAACAGCTGAATCATTTGCTTGGCCCTACCACATGAAATGAGTGTTTATATTTTTTAATATGTACAAATTTAGCCTTAAAAAGTATTAAAATATTAAAATATGTAGAAAAAGTGCGAAAAGATTGTATTTATTTTTGATTGATTGTATTGTGAAAGTATTAAAATATGTAGAAAAAGTACGAAAAGATTGTCGCCGCTGTGGGAATCGAACCCACGTCTTCGGCATTCGCGGCTTGACGTTTTAACCACTAAGCTGAAGGGCTGATTGCCACAGTGACGAAAAAGCTTTTTTAGCATTTGAAGCAATGCTTGGCGCATCCATTGTCATCCATTATCATTTCCAGCATACAAACTATTTTGAATATCGTTTTACAACGATAATTCGAACAAGAGATGTCGCCATTGCTTTTTTATAAATAATTTAAATTTTTTATAGTGCTAGTCTTTACACTTAAGATTTAACATTAAAATTTTCGACAATCTTTTCCTACTCTTTCTACGTATTTTAATGTTAAATCTTAAGTGTAAAGACTAGCACTATAAAAAATTTAAATTCATAAAAAATATGTTTAATTTTATCAGATACCAGTAATAGAATTTTTACTGTTTCGAAATAATGTTATTTATAAATATATACAGAAAGATTAATTTTCTTCGTGTGTATTTACTTATTTAATAAGTCAGTTGCTTTAATTGCCATTAAGATAAGGCAGTGACGTTCTTGCTGTTATACTTGGCTTGGCTTGATTGAATACTTAACCATGTGGTAAATATATTGCAGCAACAGTCATGTTTTCGTCTAACATTATTATGGATTGCGTCAGCTGTTTGTAACTATATGTACATTGGACCGTAATGAAGTTAGAATCAAGTAGTGCTCTCAAAAGAATACACCAAATACGAAAACAACAAATATAAAACTAACCACTACCTATATAATTTGGTAGTTAAAAATATTTTGAAACTTTTGCCTTCTTTTTGTCACTTCGTAAATTAACAATTAAGTATATCTGTGTTTATAAAAAGATTTATTAAAACATCCACAACAATGATAAACAAGATAGTATAAAGCATTGAGGTTATACTTTATTTGCAATACTAATTAGTAACAAATCCTTTAATTTACATCAATGCTTTACGCTACTGCGAAACCACACTAACATTACATCTTATAGATGTAATGTTAAAACAAATATCTGTTTGGGCGTAAATTACGAAGGCTGTGGCCGGAGGATGCAAAAAAAGTGCAAACTTAAACATAAAACTGTTATTTTATTATATAAAAATTACAAGTACGGAGTCATCAATGTAGTTAACATTTGATGACTCCGTGGCGTAGTTGTCAAGATATTGGCTTCGGCGTCGGGGGTCGTAGGTTCAATTCCCACACGGGACAACTATTTGTGTGACCCACAGATAGCTGAATCGCATCTAGGTGTTTGTCCGCGTGAAATGTATGTTTGTAAAACGTCCATAACGGATAATGTTATCCTAAAGTGAGGGCAATGTTTTCCTAATAAAAAAAAATTCTGAGTGAGGTGACAGTTGCTCGATTTAAGAGACAAAAGTGACGCCCACTGCGATGCTCCGGACAGTCCCGGTGTCCAAAGCTTGTGTTGCGCAACCTCGTGTCCGTGGGATTACGGGCGACGCGACGGCACGTAGCACGGAATAATTGAGTATGGAATGTCGTAGCCGGGTGTTTGCGATTTCCAGGTTGTGTAATTGTGTAACATGTATGTACGTAATAATTTATTTGTCTAAGATATAAACTAATTGCGATAATTAATCAGGAAGCGGAAAACAACGCGGTCCGACAGAACAGGCTGGTGGACTTCATGAAAACTGAATCTGACTCATTGAAGATGGAGATCGAGAACAGAGGCGCCCTCATCGGAAGTCTGCAGGATAAGGTGAGATTTAAAGCGTCCGTCACTTATTAAGTCCGTAAGTTTCGTTCAACGATGTTTAATAATATTGATGACGCATGTTCGTACTTTTTTTGGTATTCAGGGGGAAATCTTCAAAAGATACCCTGTCATCTTACATGACAGGGTTATGTGGGGTTTAATCTGCGCGGCGTTTAAAAATTGTTCCGATTTACAATATATGGCGTATGTAAGTGAATGTGACATATACATATAGAACGTATGATACGGAAGGGATGGCAGTATTTAGAATTGCAATGTAATTACACCAATCGGTGTAATTTGAGTGTCTCAGTTTCGATGCGCTAGTGTCCTATCCATCTCGTTTTTTTTATGCGAAGAGATGTCAAAAGAGCAGACGGTTCACCTGATGTTAAGTGAATACCGCCGCCCATGGACAACTGCTACACTCGAAGGTTACAGATGCCCTGACAACCTTTTGAAAATTCTCGTATTTGTACATACAAAAAAAAACCAATCGTGTTATATGATATCATTGGTTTTGTTAGTTGACCTGTCAACATGTAGCGTAGCACGACGAGACATGACTTCAATTAGCAATTAATGCGCAGTAATAAAGCATTGAATGTGTTAATTTGCGAAACGCTTTTAATGCAATACACTCGAGCATGAAATTATATTGTTAATTGCAATTTTAATTGCCGTCATATCATTTGTTCAGCGGTGAAGGAAAACATCGTTTCGACACCTGTATATTTTCAAAATAGTAACAAAAACTGCCGCCCTAATATACCCTCTGTACAGAGGCATTTGTTCAGCAGAGGGACATATATAGATAGAATGTTAAATTTTAGTTTTACTCTCCGAAGCTTGATTCTCTCAAAATCTCGAAGATTGTATCTGACAAAGACACGTATATAATATAAATAAAAATAGACTACTTACATGTAAACGTTTTGCCTTGTACCTTACCAACTGCCGTTATGCTCAATGTCAAAAGTTCAGTACTCAAACGAAAAAAGGCATGGTTTATTCACAATAATTGTTCCAAAACAAGGCAAATATTTTCCTAGTAGTGCAAGAGAAAGGGAAAATGCTCCGAATCTACTACAGCTGATTTTCTGCCAGTTGCTTAGACTTTAGATCGACAGTTCATTTTTTATAATTAAGGAAAAGATCGAATTAAATGCCGGATGACGTCACTCATGTACGGAAGTAGTACTACTTAAATGAGGCACATTTAGCAATTAGCAATACTTTATCTCAAAACGTCAGCACGCTGATATATTTGACGCTCGTCATGCTATCGATTAAAATGTCTTCCGACACTTGAATTGACTTGAGTTGTATTGGGATTTTCAATTAAAATTAAGTTTAATTTAAATAACAATTAATTATACTCAACATACAGCATAGAAACGAAATGACACAACACGATACAGCATAAAATATATTACAGAAAGACCTCATAAATTTTTTAATTACTATAATTTTTAACTTTAACAAAAATAGTAGAATAATTTATTAGGAGAGAAAAATCACAAATATAAAAATAATGAACTAAGACGTGCCTTGCAATGCTGTGTCAAAAGGGTCCTCTAGTGTTCATGAACTTTAGTGGAATCCTATTTCTTTTTCTTTTCTATAGTAAATGACTTATATTGTACAGTCCAGCCTTGCACAGCATACATGAGGGCTGTCTTCTTTCATACTGTGTATTCATACCGCCTTCGAATCTCGATCGCGGCAACAAAGACAAATAAAAAAAAATTGTACTATATAACAATATATTTTTGCTTGAGAAACAAAAATGACAAAAAAGAGGATACCTACGGAGCTTCTTTCGCCTGTTTCTTCTCCGTTAGAGGAACCTCATTACGAAACGGTGGTAGATTTAAAAAATTACTATCGATATACGAAGTGTATAGTTCTTATTTCGAAGAATAAATGATTTGATTTTGAAAGAAAGGAGGCGGCACAAGAGAAAAGAAAAACACACCAAATGCTGAAAGTGATGATGTAAGACGGGCGGCAAAGAGAAACGTTTATTTTAATATTTCTTTTTAAATATTTTTTTAACAATTTTGGAAACATATTCCCGTAGTAAACGAAATGAAAAAAATCAAAGTTTGCCATGTCAGATCGTGTATATACATAGGTTGCTTTACAATTGCCTCTTAAAAAATCTAGTACCGCAGGGATTAACATACATTTTCATTTGTGAACACGAGACGATATGACTCGATTGTGTCGTTGCTAAGATATTGGCTCCGGCGTCGGGGGTCGTGGATTCGGTTCCCACATGGGACAGGTATTTGTGATTGACAGATAACTGTTCTGGATCCGGGTGATTTCTTCCCAAGGACGTTAGACGAAGGCCGGTCGTAAAAAAGCATAGCCAAAACCACTTACAACATAATTCACATGATGCTCCGTCCCACCTAGGTGAGCAGGAGTATGATGACGATTGCATCAGTACACATAGTAGTAGAAAAAGTGGTTTCAGTGGTTGCCAACGGGTGTTCTCTGAGGCCTTAGAGAAAGCAACTCAAATTGCAAACGGTTAGACCCAAATGGGAGAAATTAACGAATACACCACACACATTCGAGTGCGAATTGAACCTACGGCCTATGATGCGGAAGCTAATAGTTTAGCGACTGCATCCATCGAGCCATCAAAGACGAACTGTTACGTTTTATTTAAATTATTTCGAACGTAGTGACTCATGATATTAACATACATTTATAATTAAGTTCCACAATTGACACGAGTTCAAGGATTGTTAGCGATTAAAAGGTTTTACAATTGTTGTTTTTGTAATCGTTTTGTAACCTGTTGCAAAACGATTACAAAAAATAACACATAATAAACACCTCGATGTATTCCAATCAGTCCAATCAACCATTTAAACGCAGCTAGGTAAAGCTGAGAAGGGCATGGAGCGTCGCGACAAACAACTGAGGGACATGGGTAACAAACTGGAGGCGGCGGTGCAGGAACAGGAGTCCGCCACCGCCAAGGCGAAGGCTTTGAGGGAGCAGCTGGACGCGAACAACGCGCTGTTCGAGGAGACAAAGAAAAAGCTGAACTCCGCTTCGAAGGAGCTGAAGGTGATTAGAACACACCACATGCATATAGAATACTACACATAAGTGAAGGGTTGCAGGTCTATGATGGGGGAGTGCCTGATTTTTCAGAAAAATGTCTGTCTAAAATTAAAAAAGCTACTGTCAATGTTCGACGTGCAACAAAAGGCCAATTTTAAAACGCTTGTTTAAAACACGTCAAAATGTCTGCCAAAACTATGGTAACCCTATACTTATATAACTTCATGTATCACAAGTATTCTTCATCGTATCGGTCATACACGCTGGACGTAGTTAACTGTTTAGATGTCTCTATCGATCTGTGTGTATCAAATTGCCAAACAAATGCTGTTATTCTGACCCACCGTACAAACCTACAACACAACACACTCACATAGCGTCAACCAGACACATTATAGTTACACGTAAACCACACACCGTGTACACAAAGTAGTAGGTACGCATGTTCTTTAGTGCTGTGTTAGAACCGGCCACAAATCTCATGGAAAGTTAGCCTTTCTACAAGTCCACTGCCCTATGAAGGTATAAACAGTCTACGGGATGAAATCGCGAACACCCATTATAAAATGTTGACTATAAAAAGGGCACCCCTATCTGTATAAACTACACTATATAGACAATAGAACTTGACGGTATGAAAAAATATTTTAACATTAAATTAGGAGCGAATTCAAATTTTAGCTAAAAAATAAAAGTATCACAATTCATCGAAGATGAAAAAAAAATTGCATCAATAATTTTCATCCTACAGTTCAGATGAAACAGCATCATCTAGATTTAATTTTTATCGCGTCTCTGCACTTAACATGAAACTTAATATAAATACAACATAAAGAACAAAAAACAAAACAGAAATACTCAGCGAGAAGAAATTTACCGCCAGGTATATCTAAACACTTTAAGCATCCTCTAGAATTCGATCGACGACGGCGTCAAGCTTCGCAACGAGGTGTCAAAGCTCACGAAGAACAACGTGCAGCAGTTGAAGAAGTACCAACTGCTGGAGCAGAGCAAGGCCGCGGTTGAGACTGAAAGGTAACAGGAGACACTAGTAGGTACTAAAGTGTATTAGCCCATTGTGATATCACTGGTAAGGTTGTCCGGTTTTACTCTGGATTTATATCATAGTCATCCTCCTGCCAACACACCGCAAGCGTTGCACCCCTTAGGTTTGTCCATCGGCAGCGGTATTCGCTTAACATCAAGTGAACTCCTGCTCTTTTGACAACTTTTTACACCAAAAAAAATAAAAAAAAAGGATTACATTCTAGCTTACATCATATTTAGTTACATCTTAGTATCATGTCACGGCACTATTCCACGCGGACCTTTTTTTGAACATTGTGGTCTTGAGACACCAAATCCGATCTGCAGTTTGCTGAAAATCTTCACATGGAATTCGGCTGTTCACTTAAATTATTCGACGATAGCAAATTTCCTTCCGCAATAACCTACTAAGGGCGACCTTCCCTTTATCTCTAGTGTTAGTCGACCTCACTGGTATTCATGGCACCAGGTCACCAATGATTTAGAACCACTTGTCCGTCATTACCGTTTGAAACCAATCTGATCGGGCAACTGATCCGGTTTAAAACGAGATTTCAAATCGTAAGAAACGACTCGACGATGCTTCCGACGCATTTATCAACGAAACACGATTTTTCAACTTGCCCATTATAAAGTTAAAAGAGCCATAGGATTTGTTTTGAAATATAAACAAAAAAATAATCAAAATAAAAAAATATCGCACAAAACATTCATACAAACCGAAATTAGTAAACATTTCTAGGCTACTAAAGGTGACTAAATGTCCTCGACGAAAATTAGAGCAATCGTTTGCCTGTTAAAAACAAATTTACATATTTCCAATGTTATAAAAATCCGTTTTGATTAGATAACTCTGTGGCGCCAGTATATTGGCTTCGGCACGGATAATTGTTTCGGATCTGGCTGTGAATCGGAGAAGGATAAACCTTCTCCGATTCCTTCACCCTCTTGCAGCAGCATATTACATAGGCTAAGCTTAAAGCATTCGTTTATAAAATCCTCCCACAATCAATTGAAAGATGAAAGGAATGCTCTTTGAAGTCATTAGGCTTAAATTATTTAAGGCCAATTTGTATGGGTCACAGCGATACAAATAAATCAATTAGTAGATCGAAATCTATTTAGCGTTGACTGTTTACACGTCGAATTAGCATTGCGACACGATCCTCGAGACTGATAAACGAAGGTTTGCAGATGAGATCTGCATAAAATCGAAATGAGGATGCTGGTACCAATGCCGTTAGATTTCTCATTGCATACCCTCTTAGCTTTAGATAACATCGATGTTACATTTTAGAACATATTTTTAAACAATCGTCATCTACGTCTCTTTTTACATTGGGTGTTCAAAGGACAATTGTTAAATTATCTCGACGTTTCTAATGCTTCACAAACTTAATATCACGAACACAATGTACACGCCGTACCTGAAACGAATCACACGAATAAGTACTAGGGACGAGCAATGCATTGGGATTGGACCCGTAACATTGCGCTATGGCGAGCTTATCGAAATAATGGCGCCGTCTGTGCAGTCAAAACACGTTTACGCGTTTACAAGTGAAAAAAGGACTGCAACATATTTGTAAGCCCTCGGGTGTTGCAGGTGTCAAAATACGTTTTCGCGTTTACAAGTGAAAAAAGGCTTGCAACACATTTGTAAGCCCTCGGGTGTTGCAGGTGTTCATGGGCGGCGGTAATTACTTATCATCAGACGAGCCGACTGCTCCTTTGCCCCTTTTCTCCATAAAAAAAGAGCTGTAACTCCCAATCTCAATGTGGCCCTTCCACAGAGAGCGTCTCCGTCAGCAAGTGACCGTGATGGAACGGGAGATAATGCTCGGCAACAAACACGCTGAGGCGGACAAGAGGGAGATTGAGAACCTCAACAGGGAGAAGGACATCTTGAACAAGAACATCCAGAAGATACAGAGTGAGTTCCGTCATACGTCAGTGCATAAATTCCATCTGAGATATGTATTTCACACGTTTCCATCTAAGTAAGGCTAGTTATACAATAAACATTGAGATGCAAAAATGATAATCAAAAGAAATAACTATATGAAGATGCATTAATTTTATGTAACAACAGAAGATTTTTTTTTGAATACCAAAGCGGCAGCGTATTTTTACGCATACATGGACCTATGTAGATATAGATGATAATACTTGTTAGTTGCTGATGCTGAGGCAACCTTCAATATATCATCTTGTAGGTTACCTTACTCACAAAACGATCCAAAAGTTCTTTTACTTCTGTGAGCTTTAGTGCTTCCAGTCGACCCAATGCCTTTTGTATAACAAAATAAAAACCAAGGTTCTGTGTACGTTCGACGTGATTTTGTTTCATTCCTCTACAGACGAAGCAATGGAGAACCTGCAAATGCTAAATCTCCAGGAACAGCGACGGAAGCAGCTGGAACACGAGCTCGAGGTGAATGCAGCGCAGATGAGCAAGCAGAGGCTCGCCATCCGGCAGCTGGAAAAGGATAAAGACAGGTGATAAAACGCCTCTTACGGCCAGTTTCAATATTCTAGCTATATATAAATTAATAAAATAGCTTCTCTGTAGATTTGATTACTAACGATAGCTATTTGTGATTAGCTCCATAATATCAAAACTCCGGTAACTAAATCTAGGGATAGATCTGTATCTATTGGTTCAATATTGTATTGAACCCGTCCGTAAGTCAACACACTCCGTTTCCTTTGTACAATATCTTGCGTCCTATTTCTTTGCGAATGCATGGCACCTAAGTATAGCTTACTTCGTACAACACCTTTTCGAATTCAATTTATCTAAAAATATAAACAACGTCAATGAAACCGTTCTATTACCGGTTCTCCAAGTCGGCTCAGGTCTAAATTTGTAAATTGCTAGTAAATTTTGGCGCTAATAAGTCCTTGAATTGGAAATCGCCTAAATTTATCTAAGAGTTTTGTTGCCACTCGCGACGCCTTTTGACTTCAATTTATTTAATCTGTATGATAAGTTGGCAAGTGAGCGCGAGGTTCAGCTGATATTAAATAATTACAGCCCATGGACGGCTACAACTCGTTTCGCATGGCAGATGCGTTAAACACCTTAAATAAAATCGAGACCCGGTTATCTCTCTCACCAGACGAAACGCAGAAGTATAACACTTCCACTTCACGCTGGTCCTCTGTGAGGTCGTGGTACTTCCCCGACGAGATAGCTCATTCGCCCAACAGCAGAAGTTGCCGTGCATCAATTGCGGAATTCCCGTAAATATTATAAATCACCTCATAAACTTAATCGTTTGCTTATTACACTTTTAAGATTTACCCTACATAAGGTATGTAGGGTAATTCTTAAAAGGAGTCATTACTCTATTCCCAGAATGTTGGAAGAAACGATCGCTCTTAACGAAAAAATCGACGAGATCTCAGGTACGAATGGAAATAATACACCGTTGGTTGCACGAAAGCAATTGTATAGACAATCGTAATCGCCAATTGTCTTCGATTTGGAGAATTAACGAAGTTTTTATCGTTTCACTGTAAGAAGATAATAATTGGCTTGCGAGTTTATTTGTTTGGGAACAATGTAAAGTTATTTCAATAATATCATCTAAATTATTATTGAAATCGTCTTTATCCTAATTAAGCTTTACTCATACAACCTAGTGCAGTTCTTATTATTACTTATGATTACACCCTAACCCAATTCTACTGTTTATATAATCGCTTTTTAACGATAAGGCCGCCTATTGTACACATTTTTGTTCTTTATAGTTTATTATACAACACCAGGTTCTACTTCGTGCTTGATTCATGGAGTCATGCGCTTATTTGCGTGTCGAAGTTAAAATGGCATCTCTGTTCAGTTATCAGTTAAACCATCAAGTCGATGCTTCACACTTGTGTGAAGTGTAGACTTGACATGAATACAAAACGGCGACAAACAAGTCAATTAGTGATTCAATAACGCTGCATAATAAAGAATTATTCATTGACACGAGATAAAGTCATCTTTTTTATCATAAATAAATATACTTGAATCGTGTCCTGCAAATGACGCGATTGCAATGGAGAAAATAAAACATAAAGATTGGCTTACTGAGCCAGTGATTCCTTTTAAAACTTCATATATTTAGGTCACTACAACCTATCAATTTTCTGTAACATCTATATATTTAGATTACATCATTCGAACCAGCCATTTTTTAGAACAGCGTACATGTTGAGGTAACATTCTTCAAACCAGCAATTTTCTGCAGCACCCCATATGTTCAGATCACATTCTTCAAGTACTGATTGTTCGGTGAACCTTCCATCGTTTGCCAGAGGAGGTACGTCTCCGAACCGCGGACATCCTTGATTTGAACAAGGCTCTACGCGATGAAGCGATCAAGACGCGCAAGCTATCTGTCGCCCTGGACTCGACCAGGGCCGAGAGGAACATGCTCCACAAGAACTACACAGAGGCCGTGGACGAGATTCAAGACCTGAAGCAGAAACTGAAGGTAACGAGGATGAACAAGTTCAGAACTTCTCGATGTTGAAAACGAGTGTTGGAGAAACTTGACTTGACTTTTTTTCTTAAAACTTCGTTATCAACTAAATCACGAATGATCTTGTATGATTTGTACCGGAATATTGGAAATCTTAATTCCTTTTAAATTTCACTCGGTTGCAAGATAATTTATTTGTTTCACAGATAATATGTTATATTGTTTGTCTCTTTATGAATTACAAATGCAATAATTGTTGCTTATCGTTTGCTGCATTCACGTTGTACATTACAATGAACTATAAATCATTGTTTTTTACTTGCCTGTACGACATTTATATTATATTAATTTTTAGTCGTAATTTTATGTATACGGTACATGATGTCGTCACTCAACTCTGTGTCAAACACGTTTGTCTTTGGACCAGAACCCAAGATCCACTTGTTGGCGAGACCACTTTAGTAACGACAAGCTTAACTTGTCACATTGATCTAAATATGTGCGTGCGAAAAGGGAATTTTGACCAGTGCTATTAAACTATGTCACTTTCTTATTTCATGGAAACAGTTACTTTTTGACCCAAAAATAATGACAATGACACCAAGGTTATTGAACTTTAAATAAAAATATTTATGTTTCACCTAACTTAATATTTTTTTCTTCTAACAAGTCAAAACATTTAGTAGGTACGTCTTTTTCAAAATCCTAGGTACCCTTAGAACTCAACACAGAATTTCATCCGCGTGGGTGGAGAGGGTCGCTTTCAGATCATCGATTGCTGTTTGATTTCTAGATTCCAGGTCTCATGGACGAGACAATAATTCTCACGAAACATGACAATAATTCTTGTGATGAGATGACACACCCGCCCGCTGCCAACTTTTCACACAGAAAGGTGCACAGCATCGATACCGTTTTATCTATCCGTATGTTCTTTAACAGATGCTAGCGTACCAGATAGAGCAGCTTAAGGAAGACATCAGCGGCAAAGAGGTCGGCCTAAAGACCTGCGAAGGCACACTGGCCAAGTGCAACAAGAAGAACGAGCAGCTTCGCTCCGAAATCCAGGCGGGCGCGGTGAAGCTCTCAGAGGCTAAGGCGGACATCACCGCTCTGAAGCAGGAAGAGGCCAGACTGAACAGGATCATACAGGTGAGAGAGGTTACACATATAAAACGCACTATTTAGATCATTGTTCTATTTACATTTAGAGAAAAGAACGCCGGCAAGGTGTCTGTAAAGTGAAACAACGTCGGCCTTAGTTCATAATTGTTCAACTTCTGAAACATTTAAAAACAAACAATTACGCTACGGCTACCTGTAAGGTGTTGTATGCTGTAAATGATGCACACTAGATGTCTCCAAACATTGCTAGAAATGTAATAAAAAGAACGTAAAGAAAGATGTCAAGATTAATTAGCATAATTGATAAAGCGTCTGAAAGCGACACCAGAAGACGCAAAACGAAAACGCTTCGAAACCCAAAAAGGCTGAAAGTTTTTGCTCATTTATCTACAAAAAAATATTATTTAAATTACACAGCCTAATGAATTAAAATATCCTTACTAAAATCCTGTCACTCCGCTAGCATATAAGTATCCGAAACAATTTACAATCCTAAAAATCTCTGCTATTATGAATGCTGTTAACAATCGAACATCAAATGGGCCGCTAGGCTATCTGCACGAAACCATACTAGGTATATTTGTGTACTGCAAACGGATCGGAGATCGAACCACCTGTCCACTTTAAAAAAAACATCGCCCTTACTGTAGGATAACATTATCCTGTGTTGCAAGGCAGTTTTACAAACATAAATTTCACGCGGACGAACACCCGGATCCGAAACGATTATCTGTGGATTGCACGAATAGTCCCGTTTAGGAAACGAACCCACCTCCTCTGGCGCCGTAGCCAATAGCTTGGCAAGTGCCATCTTTTGGCACTTGGCCTTCAAAGTGGGTCTCCGCCGTCAGGAGGGAGACGCGGCACGTGCCAAGCTGATGAAGGACCTGGAGGGTCTGATGAACGAGAGGGACGTGGTCGGAGCCCAGCTGGTGAGGCGCAACGACGAGATATCGCTGCTCTACGAGAAGATACGGATACTCGAGATCACGCTCAACAGAGGTACCTACATCCGTCAATTAATTTCCTACTTTACGAAGATTGATTCTGATTTCTCTTTGCCTCGTTTTTTATCATTAACTTTATTTTTAGAGCCCAATTAATCATAAAATCCTGACATGATATTGGCAGAATTAAATATTAAAGAAAAGAATATTAAAGAAAGGAGAAGAATAATTGTAAAATTTAATAGAGGTACATACTTACCATATACTTTTTCAACTTGAAAAAGGAAGAATTGTCATTTTGCTTAAATAGTAAAGATCACTTTACCGTCACATTTTGTGAATATGTCGTCAAAAGTTTTTGTTAATTTATCTACGATCTTGAGTGCAGAGTCTAGCACTAAACTTATAATGAATTTTAATCCTAAAAAGTCTGTAAACTTGTTCAGGCGAGCGTCAGTACGAGCAACGTGTGGAGGACATCCGTCTCCTTCGGCTGGAGATTATCAGATTGCGGAAGGAGAAGAACCTCCTCTCTAAAGGAATAGAGAACATGACCGACCTGAGATTGGAGGTATGGATAATGGCCGAACGGATCTGGATGAAAGTTTGAATAAAGACAGGTTTTTTTGAGATAAGGTGGCAAGCGAGCTGACGGTTCACTTGATGCTAAGTGATAACCGTCGCCCATGGACGTTTTCAAAAACCGTAGAGTTGCAGATGCGTTGCCACCTTTTAATAAAGTGAGCCTCGGCTACCTCACACACCAGACGGAACGCAGAAATATAACACTTCCACTTCACGCCGGTATACTGCGAGGCCGCGGTACTTCTCCGGGTGGACCTGCCCATTCGTGCAACAGCAAATACTGTTGCGTGGCCCCACCATAGTTGAGACCTTATTTCTCTTCTACGAGCCCGCGGTACTTCTCCGCACGAATCTGCCCATTCGTGCAACAGGTTCAGCCGCGTTCGCACCCAGGCATTTGTCCGTGTGAAATAAAACTTCTTTACAACGTTCCAATGCTGGGCGAAAGCCTCCTCTGTACGGAGAGTATCAGGGCATAGTCCACCACGCGGCCCCAATGCGGATTGGCGGACTGCACATGTCTTCGAAATATTTTCTTTTTATAATTATTTCGAAAATGTGCAGGTTTCCTCACGATGTTTTCCCTCACCGTTGAGCACGTGATAATTCGGCGCTTAAAATTAACCATATCATTGGTGCCAGCACCGGGGATCAAACTCGGATGGCTAGAGTATATTGAGTTAAAGGCGAGCGCCCGGACACTGAGCTATCACGACTCCAAAAAAGTAAGAGCAATGTTTTTTTAAAAAAAAAGAAAAATTTTATCAGCACAGCGTATCGTATCGAGCAGGTGTTCAACCTGGAAAGGGAGCTGGGGCGGTCGCGGCTGCGTGTGCGCGCGTTGGAGGAGGCGCTGGAGACGCCCCTGAACGTGCACAGGTGGCGAAAGCTGCAGGGCACAGACCCGCAGAGCGTCACCCTCACGCACAAGCTGCGCCTCACGCAGAAGTAAGTTCGAGCGCGGCATTACTTTTATGAATTTACTAGCTGTGCGCGCGACCATGTCCGCGTGGAATTTAAAATAAAAAAAAATCTAAAATAAAAGTATAATCTGCCAGTGAAAGTCTCGTCAAATCGGTCCAGACGTTTCAGAGATAAGCCGGAAGAAACAGACAGACAGACAAAAATTGTAAAAAATGTTATTTTGGTATATGTACCGTGTATACAATATTGGTATATGTGCCTTTAATTAAAAACGGTTATTTTAATATTACAAACAGACAATCCAATTTTATTTATCTGTATAGATTTCGATACTAGCTAATTTTGAACCACAGGCAAAGACGGGACTCTATATATACAGCGTGTCGTTACCATCGCGACAATAAATGAACACACATATAGGGGATAACTTTTTAAAGTTGTATTAAATATTTAAATTCTTTAAACGTCAATATTTACAGAGTTATTAAATTTTCCAAAACAAAGAATTTTAGAACATCCTTACCTATAAAAGCGTAACGTAAAGTTCATTTGTAAAGGTCACAAAGCATATGAATGGGTTGAATGAATTTAAGACAAAACGTACTGTTAGAAGGAGAGGCTTGTAATGCGACGCTGTGGCGCGAGTTGTATAGGATGTTACTAATTTTGTTTCTTTTTTACTTAATTAGTTAGTAGAAAAATTTTTTTTTTTAATTATGGATTTTGTTTAACGTTAATATTTTTTTATGATTATTGGCAAGTAGCGTTAGACGTGTGTTCATTTACTTTCGCGATGGTAACGACACGCTGTATACTGGTAAAGCCATGCAGCAGTTTCTGCATTTGCATGAATACGTCGACGAGTTGGAGGAAGTAACACACACTCCAAATAGCTGTATAGAAAGAGTTGGTTAGAATAATAATTTGTTATATTCTTGCGCCTCGTAAGGTCAACATAACCCACAGCCATAAACCATAAATATTTTTTTTATATCTAACCAGTGTGGCATAAAAATTTTAGAATAAAATTTGCATGTTATTTAGGAATATTCGCGACAAGAAATCGCGATTTGCGAAAACCGGCACAAACATCCATTGTTTATAGCGGAATGGCCCAGAACATTCTAGACATCGACGAATTCAAAGCCAACCGAGGCAACGGTCGTAGCGTGTATAGCCGTGAATCGAAGAAAAAGTAATCTCAAACCTTAATAAAGAAGCTTGAAATAACTTCGTTTCATATTCTTAGTAAAAAATTATTAGGTCGTGAGTTCAATAAGCAAGCGCTGTTGTTTTTATTTACGACAGAATTGCTGATTTGCGTGCTTGAAAATCGTAAGATATCAAATATTTAAAATTCAACGTTCAAAGCCGAAGTTTTGATTAAGCGCTATTCAATTTTGATTTTCAACTCTCCCCTTTTTGAATGCTTTGCAGTTTAATAATGAGATTGACATCAAATGACATTTACACTAGGCTAGAGTAACCTCCAATTAAAATCGCTGAACTCGGGATAGACTGTAGTTTTATTAAAATATGCAATATTCGCATAAATTTTAGAATTTCCTTCAACCTTGAAATCTTTTTCTTTTAGAAAAGTACTAGCGCAGAGCGAACTTTTGGTGCTAAAAGACCGCGAGCTCAAGGAGACGAAGAACCTGTACGGAGCCGTCAAAGACATGCTCGCTCTACAGCCCAGCCCCGAGATCCAGGTTAGTATTTCATATATAGAATGATAATTTGAACTAAAAATATTGAAAGTTTACATCTTTCCAATTTTGAATCGATTTAAGTTTTTGTGAAAGATGTTTACTGTGCGAGCAATTTTACACAAACCACAACAATATTAAAAAAATATTAATCTGTCACTCCTACGTATTAAAAGGCCCATGCCAACCTTGAAAATTGTTGCTTAAAACAGCATTTTTTTGTGTTTGGATACATATTTATAGCTCGATGCAATGTTGAAGAAAACGTCTCCATTCTAATTTCAGCAAACTTTGATTCGCACGCAGCGAGCGCTTGCCCAGAGGACCACGAAAATGAAATGTTTAATAGCCGGTATGTGTTTAAATATAATTGAAATTTATTAAATAACTAGCTAGACTTGCATCTTATTTCATGGTAAGTGGCGATGTGTTATTGGTCAATATACTAGCCCAAATTATTACCCACACCCTAGGGCAGACGCCGATCTAGGGGTTGGAACATGAGGGTCATAACCCTATACGATCCTATTTTTTTGAGCACTTTAATGGTTGTTTTTCTTTATTCAGATTGAGTTATTTGGCAATAGTAACGAAAATTAAGTTTCTCTTGAAAAGAAATTGTCAGTAAAATGAACATGTCAGTACACGCGTATGAACAAAACATGAATGCGCATTTTATGGGCACCAGAGGATAAGGCGCATTTTTAGAGTTTTGCCGTCGCCTTCACGCAGCAATCGCTCGTCTTGCTCCACTAGAAAGAACATAAGAACTTTTCTTAAAATTTATAGAAAAATGTACGAAAAGTTTCGGGAAAGCTGCGGGAATCGAACCCACATCTTCCAGATGATCGGACAGCATAAATAATATTATATTTATATAATATTTACAGCATAAAATTAATTTCAAATATCGTTTTACAACCATAATTCGAACGAGAGAAAAGTCTCCATTGCTGTATGAAATTAGAAAATTTTAGTACTTATCGCTGCATTTTAGACGAGACATTAAAATTTGTAGAAAAATTCCCCAGTCCAATATTTCCTCAAATTATTTTGCCGAGCGGTGGCTGTATAGTTATAGGTTGTCCATATGAGGCAATCAGCAGCCCCCCCTCCATGGAACGTCTCCCCGCAGAGCTGGGCATGAGGGAGAATCAAGTGACGGACCTGAGACGCGAGCTGGACCGCGCCAATGGGGATCTGAACTCCTTCAAGCAGCGCTATTACGAGATGAAGAGGGCTCTGGACGCGGACGAGGCTAGGAGGCTGCGAATACCCACGCCCCCCGCCACGGCGCAACCGCAAGAAACGCTCGCTTAGCGATGCTACTATTAACACTAGCACATATCCAATCTAGATCAGTGTTTCCTGAATATCAGGTATACCTAGACCGGGCCTGTTGTTTCAAAACTTGAAGGAATGTAACACTGGAAAATCTCTGGCTATTACTCCAAAAATTCAAACTACTAGGTCTTCATTAAATCTAGCTCTGAAAACATACAGTAGACAATGTCCAGGCTTGTGGTTTCCAAACTTGAGGGAACAGAACTCTGGAAAACCTATCCATTTCATTATCAGGTATATTACAATGGTTTATAAACAAGATGATGAGTGTTCTTTCTATTAATTTATGCAACAGCTTCCACAGAGATGTACATTCAGTGTTAACTCTACATTTGAAGGTAAAGAAAATTCAACAGAAATTGTCTAATTCATGTCAAGTTTCATTTAATTGTGGGCATCACGATCACTTTGCCGCCAAACTATTGATTAAATTTGATTTTAATACCTCTGTAAACAGTACTTAAGAGAAAATACGCTCTGTGGTGCAATTTTATTGTTTTTTTTTATTTAGGTGTACATAGAAAACATTCAACATAAAATTATTTGTGAAAGTATTTTACAGGCCGTTTGAATATAACTGAATTAATACTTACATTATTAAATTTGTTGTTTTATCTTTTTTAACATAGATTATACAAATGTTTCACTCATTCACAATATGCCTGTTATTTGTGGTTTATTTATAAAATTAAGTTCTTGAAATATTGTGTTTAATTATTTTACACTTATCATCTTAAGTGCTTTAGATAATCCATTTTAAAAACAAATATAGAACAATGAATCAATTCAGATAACAGGAATTTAATCTTTTTCATATTTTTTAATCAGGAATTTGACAGAAAAGTATAGTTGTTGTTTTATATCTCGTCCGGGGACAATTTCAATAAGGTCATTTCATGTTAACAAACTTGATAACAAAGTTAAGGTTTGAAACCGGGCACAATCAGTATCAATGTATTTCTACAAGTGATAAGCACTCTGTATTATCAGTTACATAAATAATATAAAGCTAATTAATGTGTAACAGTAATGCAATTACAATCAGGAACAGCAAATAAAACACACAGAGTAATTAATCCGAAAACAATAGTTTTATTTAAGAACTTTTCACTTTCTCATAAAATATACACATTGTTTTTTTTTTTCGTTTTGTCATTAAACTAAACCGTAAGTAAATACTAATTTTTTAAATACCAATCCTCGCGTTTTTTTCTCTCTCCATACTCCACAAACAGGTGGAAGTGTGGGGGCTCGCCCGCTATTTACCTTAAACTTTTGCTAATCGAACAATTTCAATTGTCGATTGGTGAATAAGTGGTGTTTTCCTGCCTCGTGTACAAATCCTGCTCGCTTAACACTATTTAGACGAAAAAAATTACAAAAAAAAAAAAACGGAAAGTAAACCATCGAAACTAAAGCGTGAACTCTCTCTCTTTCTCTCTCTATCTCTCAGCTTTCTCTATCTCTTTTGTACATTTCAAAATTACCGAGACGAAGAAATTAATCATTATAACATTATAATAATAAACAAAGGGAAAAGAGCTTAAACGGAAACGTTGTTTTGAAATAAAGATAACGCGACGCGTCCCTGGTTCACGTTCAATAAAGTGTGATGATACGAATTCTACAGTCCTCTTCGTCGATTACTTAAAAATAACAGTTCGAATGCCCGGGCGCCTATCGGACATGGTTTGAGGATGGGGGGGTCGCGGTGTGTAACGAAACGGCCGGCGGACGGTCAAACTTGAACAAATTCCACGATGCATCGGAATAATTTTATAGTACGTTACTTTTGTCTGCATCCGTAACGTGTTTGACCAATATCGTAATCTCTCTACAAACAGAGACATTTCTTAACTTGATTGACAAGAAATGTTTGGCCAAACATGCCGGGCATGGAACTAGCACGAAAATCCGAAATTTGCCAAACATATTTGAACGTCCGACAGCTCACTCAACAGATGCGCTTCAAATGCTGCCGTCGACCGCCGAGTGACGGACGCGCTTTTCTCAACAGACCAAGTGACGTCTGAAAGCTAAACCTTTATTATATAAATATTGCGTCCGTTTGTACAATACAAAATTTGCACATTCATACATAATTTATAACAACATATTCTATATAATAGAATCGTACTACTAGATACTTTTTCACTTTCATAGACAATCATTTGTACATCTGAGAAGAAATATATAATCAAGCCTTAAACGCCTTCCGAATATATTTCTATTATTCAGTGTCCTCAAAGCGAATGCGACATCGTACATTTTATTGTAAATCATTAAATGCTCTCACTATGCGTGGCCACAGAGCATATTATTGCAGCTAAATACGACGCAGCCTTTGGGAACTACGCACCTATTTACTTTGAAGTTATAAACAGAATAAGAGCGTGCTTCACTCGCGGGTGTCGCGGCTTGATGTTGACTTTTGCAGTTGGTCGTATTAAATCATTTAGAGAAACCGCCGTCTCGTAATCCCAGCCTTGTCACTCCCGCTCGCCCCCGCCCCGTACAAACCCCTCCGTCAGCGCACGTCACACGCATTTCACATAACAGTTATACATATGTATGTATGTATATATATATATATAGCTGTCCCAACTTACCGAATACAAACACAGAATCAACTATTTTTCGCTCAATCGTTTCTCTCCCTCCCCCCCTCCCCCGACGGATGGTGTCGCCCGGCTCGCGGCGTAGGTACTTAATACATAAAGAGTTGGTTGCGATGGAATCGTTAAACTATTGTTCGTTCGCGAGGCGCGGCGCGCACGTTACTGCAACGTAGCGTAGCGCCCCCCGCCTAGTGCACGTCGGAGCTCTCCTGCTTCAGCTGGTGGTTGGCCGGGTCCGAGGTGTTGATGGGCTGCAACGGGAGAACGGGGGAGTTGTATTGCATTATATCCGAAGGAGCGAATGAGGAATGCGTGAGCAGTGTATGTGGGCACGCACCAGCGAGATGGGCGGCTGCGGCGGCTGCGGCGGCGGCTGCGGCTGCGGCGGCAGCGCGGGCGGCTCGTGCACGGTGGTGGAGTGCGCGGCCTGCGCGCCGCCGTAGTAGCCGCCGTTGACGGCGTCGGCGTAGGGCGCGGGCGCGGGCAGCGGCGGCGCGGGCGCGCCCAGCACGGGCGGCGCCGCGCCCGCCAGGAAGTAGTCCTTGTTGACGCAGTTGCGCAGGCACTCGGGGATGCGGCCCACTATCGCGCGCCGGATCTCCGACGCCGCCATCTCGCGCAGCTCCTGCGCCGACGCGTCCGAGTAGAACGCCGCGTGCGGCGTGCACAGCACGTTCGGCGCCTCCTTCAGCGGGCCCTGCGCGCATTAATGTCGGGCTCACTTCGACAGATATCACGGACGGGAAGATTCTCGCGAATAAACCTGATGAATGGTGTCGATGGACCGGGCAATCACGGGTATTTTTGGTCACTGCGAAAAATACTGTACCGATCAGAAAAATATTTTTTACCACTTATACCGTTAAAAGCTTACAGATTTCTTGCCAATGTATAGCCATAAGACAAACCACCTGTTCTATTTATTTTGGAATGTAATGTAATAAAATTACATTGGTACACAGAAGTTTACACTAATGTCTGTTCTATGTAAAGATATATCACAACAGACGCGTCCACATCACATGATGCGTTTTTAGCATTTGCAACCCCCTGCCCCTCGATGAAACGTGGACTCGCACACACACACGTCGGACGCGCACCTGGAAAACGTTGAAGGGCTCGTTCTCGTGCACGTCTAGCGCGGCGGCCCGGATCCGCCCCTGCTTCAGCGCCGCCGCCAGCCCCTCGTCGTCCACTAGGCCGCCGCGGGCGGTGTTCACTAGGAATGCGCCTGCAATGGCAAAACGCGCGCGCTAGGATTATCACAAATTGAGACTCTCGGCCTAGGTTGCATTAAAATAAATTACGAACATTTTTATCCCAAAGAAAATATAAAACGCGCGGTTGAAGGCTACTTTATTATTTTATCTATTGAATTGTGGTTTCGTTTCGTTTCAAAATAATCACAACATTGAACTTTAACATTTTGTTTTGCGTATAAACACGAAGTTTGTTTAGAAGAAAAATATTATGTAACATTAAAAAAATCATGAACTACCAAGATAATTTTTTTTTACTTTTTATTTTATCAAGGCTCCGTTACGACGATACGGTTTTTAGGGGAAAAGCCAGGTTTAGCAACAACCTCTTGAAGAAAGGAATGATCAAATTGATTATCATTATTTTAAAAAACGCACCTGGACGCATCTGTTTGATAGTGAACTCGTTGATGAGGTGATGGTTGTGCTCGTTTAGGCTGCAGTGCAATGACACGCAGTCACTCTGGAATAGGAGGTCCTGGAACATGATATTAAAACACATTAAAATACATGCATAAAAGTTCGAGGTTCTGGAATATTATATTATAATGTATTTATGTACATTTATTACATACGGAGAGGGTCACATCACATTATGACCTCAAAGAAAACTACTAACAAAATCGATTGGAAGTAGGTAGAGCAGAGAAATTATTGGTTTTTGAGATGCGTTAGTACTTTAAAAACAGATCGTCTTGTATGGTTCTTGATGCAAGGATTGCATTGACTGTGCAATGAAATATTAGAACCTGCTTTGAGCTAATAGAAACGCATTTTTAAATGTATTTCAAATATTACGAATATTACGAACATATAAATAGTGTAAATCCGCATGTAGATGGATATGGGAATGGGTGTAGTTAGAATTTACGTGGAACCTCGCCATTAGGGACTCTTAGTGAAATATCTTTAAAAATATGGCTTGGTGGCGCAGTTGTTCAACTATTGGTTTCGGTCTAGAGGGTCGTGGATTCGATTCCCAACGGGAAAGTATACGTTGGGGCCACAGATATTTTTTTCGGTTCTGGGTGTTTATTTTTTCAATAAGAAGAGCAAAGAAGATTATCTGGATAAGTATATAGGGCAGCGGTGCGGTGAAGCGGTCAGGGTGGGCAATGGTCGCGCGCTCACCTGCAGCGTGTAGACCCTGGTGAGGCCGAGCGACTTCTCGATGCCGTCGGGCAGGTAGGGGTCGTAGAAGATGACGTTGAAGCCGAACGCCTTGGCGCGCAGGGCCACCGCCGAGCCGATGCGGCCGAGGCCCACGATGCCCAGCGTGTCGCCGCGGATGCGCGCGCACCCGGTCGCCGCCTCGCGCACCTGCTCCGGCCCTGGAGACCGTTCGGGTCGGGCGGCACCATTAGCGCACTCTCGATTCAACTTTTTTTTTTTACGTGAGAAAGCGGCAGACGAGCTGGCCAACGACATTTGGCGACATCAAAATTGCAAATGTGCTGCCTTTAAATAAAGCAGACGGAACGCAGAAGTGTAACAGTTCTACTTCACGCCGGTCTTCTGTTAGATCGTGGTACATATAAGTTTCACATCTCCCGAGCGTCTCATTTACCGTGTTATATTTTTAACAATACCCCATTAAAATGAGAAGTCACAGACCTAATAAAATAAAATAATACGAGCCCAGAATGCGTAACGTCCAATGCAGAACGCTCTACTCATATCTATTCAAAGAAAGGGAAGCAGCGTTCTGCTGCTTTCGAATGGGAATCTGAGAAGCGTGCAAAGAAAGTTTGTTTGTAAATTGTTTGTCGAACTCCGCTGGCACGTGGTGCAATGACAAACTATCGCGTTTTAACCTTAACGATTCGATGTTATGAACGCGATATAGACAATTTCTTTTGAAATCATATGCTGCATCATCAACAGCAGGAAAGCAAAATAAAGTAAATAGTCGATTTTCTAGTGATGCTTAATATTTTGATACTACATAATGATTAAATAAAACAGAAAAAAGATCCAACTGCTTCAAAGATACCTTTCTAGTACCTGGAGGACCGAGCTTTGCTCGGTTTGTTTTTTTTTTGGTAAATCGTGTATTTTGGAAATTACATTTAGATACAAATTACTAAGTAATGAAATATGCATAATATGTTTCGATCTTACCGACGTAATAATAAGAAAATATGAACTGGTGTTTTTCACAAAAGAAAGAACTTTAAAAAAAAGGGAAACAAATAACAAAATAACAAATCGACAAAAAATAAAAGATAAAGAAAGCAATGATCTGGAATCGAAAAAAAGTAAAAAAAAAAAGTGTGTCTATGATCGTGATACGAAACCACGGCCTTCTGTTTCGTGGCTGTTTTTTAGCGGCCGAGCTATTATAACATTTTTTTTTTTCGGTGAAATTTACGGTCTTATTCGAATAATATTTTTTATTCCCTGAAAACTGGGATAAAACGACATTTTCTAAAAATGAAACCTAATCAGATCGATTTTTCGCACCCGAATCTACGCACATACTAAATTTCATGAAAATCGCTGGAGCCGTTTCCGAGATTCCAATTATATATGTAAAGAAACTATATTTCTTTAATATGTACAGCGCTCTTCTGTCAGTGACCATACTCATGTACGCTATAGATGGCTCTGTGAGAAGAAAATTGTATAAGAAGGAATTGATAATTGGAAGAATAGACTTTAAATGTCGTTTCTTTGTTTTCAGAGCAACACGATTGTTTATTAGACATTTACAATTCCTAATAAGTTTGGAGTTATTGTCTTATAAAACGACATTTCTAGTTCAAATTAAGAGGAATGGAAAAGCTAAAATTTAGATTTGAAGTATTGGGATCAGCGGACGGAAAAACAAACGTAATATGTATAACTTCTATTGAGACACCGGACGGACACGTTTTTGAGGTCCCAGATGAATTTAAGCCTACAAGTAATCACACTGCCATATTGTCGTCAGAAGTGTTCAAGAAAATTAAAAATTCGCTTAAAAAAAGACACCAAACACGCTCAGTGTGGATCCCTCTTAATTCGGAGTTGAGGGAAATATATCTAGATGAAGGTGAAAATTTACAATTTGGTGACGAATACTTATATGAGGTCACAGAAGAGATAATGCCTTCACACAGTAATGACAATAGCGAACATGCGAAAAAAATTTAGGAAAAACTGCTGAAAGGTTTTTAATTGAAAAATTTTCACATAAAACGACAAATGCTGACCAATGGATTAATGAATTTGAGAGTGAATGTGGAAGGTTTGAAATTTCACAAGATGAAGAGAAAATTGAGATTTTAAAACATCTCCTAGAAAAACAGTGCCTAGATTGGTATAGCAGTATGCTGATAAAATTGACGGTGAATTCTGAGTGGGCCGTATGGAAGGGAAACTTTTGTGAAACATACGGAAATAAAGGTTGGTCCCAAGTCAAATATGCATTTTCATTTAGATTTCAAGCTGGATCGTTACTCGAATACGCCACAAAAAAGGAAAGGTTGTTATTAGAAGTCAACAAGCACATTGACACCCAAACAATGATAAATCTTATTGTAATGGGATTACCAGATTATGTAGTAGATAAAATTGATAAAGAGAATGTAAAATCTACTGCAAGTCTCTACAATGAAATTGGAAAACATGAATATGTAACGAATAAAAAGAATTTTATCAAGACTAAAAGAAATAACTTTGATTTTAAAGTAAAGTCTGATAAAATAAAACCATGTAAAATTTGTGAGAATTTACATAAAGGTATTCGGTTTCATCCTGAAGAAAAGTGCTGGTTCAAACAGACAGATTATAATAATAGAGCAAAGTATAATAAAACCATAAACAATTCGGTGATTGATGTTGAAATAAATGATAATGATAAAAAAAAAACGATTAATAACACCATTAATTAAAGTCAAACTATTATTGGATGGTCAATTAGAAATATTTGGAATATATGATTCAGGTTCAAACGTTTCTATAATTAATTCCAAATTAATTAGACTGAAAGGAGCGGGGGGTGATGATTCGAAAAGTGATAATTTAATCACAATTAATGGTGTTAAAAAGACAATTGGTTTGCCAACTATTAAAATAAAAATTTTTGATATTGAAGATAAAGCTGATGTATATATAATTAATGGAGAAGAATTTAAATATGATTTTCTAATTGGACTGGATATGATAAAACAGTTTAGACTGGTTCAGGATGAGCATATGCACATCGCGCAAATAAGAAAAGAAATAAAAAGAAAAGAAAAATGTCCTATGAATGAGGATGATGATAAAAATAACACTTCTAAGGAGGTAAAAAATGAAACAACTCCAGGTTCAATAAATTTTAATGAACACATAAAAGAAGAGGACTTCAAGATAAGTATGAGTAATTTAAATACTCAACAAAAGTCAGAAATACACAAACTGATAGACACGTACAAATCAATCTTTGCAAAAGATAAATATGACATTGGTACAGTCAGAGAGTATGAAGCTCGTATTGATTTACTTGTGGACAAATATTGCAGTAAAAGGCCTTATAGATGTTCAGTTGAAGACAAAAAGGAAATAGAAGAACAAATAGCAAAGTTGCTGGAAGAGAAATCTTATAGAAGAATCGTATAGTCCATTTGCAGCACCAGTAACTTTGGCTTTCAAAAAAGAAGACAACAAAAAATCAAGATTATGTATAGATTTTAGAGATCTTAATAAAATAGTGGTACCTCAAGCTCAACCATTTCCATTGATCGATGACTTAGTGATTAAGACAAGAAATTCAGCATATTTTACAACACTGGATATCAATTCAGCCTTCTGGTCAATCCCGCTAAGAATAGAAGATAGAAAAAAAACTGCCTTTGTAACGCAAGAAGGGCACTATCAATGGACATGTTTACCTTTTGGCCTTAAGACATCGCCTGCTATTTTCCAAAGGATACTCGGTAACATATTAAGAAAGTATAAGCTTAATGAGTTTGCAGTAAACTACATTGATGATATTCTAATATTTTCTAAGACTTTTTCTGAGCACATTAACCATGTAACACAATTGTTAGAAGCGATAAAAAAGGACGGTTTTAGACTTAAATTTACAAAATGTACATTCGCTTCAGATTCAGTAAAATATCTCGGTCATATAATACATAATAATACAGTACGGCCAGTAAGAGATAATTTAGTTTCAATAAAAGATTTCCCAATACCGAAAACTCAGAAAAATGTTAGACAATTTCTGGGGAAAATTAACTTCTATCATGAGTATGTACCAAAAATTTCGGTAATTTTAGAACCGCTTCATAACTTACTCAGAAAAAACCAAAAATTTATTTGGTCTTCAGATTGTCAAAAATCTTTTGAAGAAATTAAGAAAATATTGTGTTCACAGCCAATTTTAGAAATATTTGATCAGAATTTACCTATCAATATTCACACAGATGCATCTTTAGAGGGTATTGCGGCAGTGTTAAAACAAACACAACCAAATGGAAAAGATAAGCCAGTGGCATATTTCTCAAAAAAATTAAATCAAATACAAAAGAAAAAAAAAAGGCAGTTTATTTAGAATGCTTAGCTATAAAAGAAGCAGTAAGATACTGGGAATATTGGTTAATTGGTAAGTCTTTTACAGTATATACTGACCATAAACCGTTGGAAAACTTAAATATTAAGTCTAGGACAGATGACGAGTTAGGAGATCTAACATATTATTTATCACAGTATGATTTTACAATTAAATACGCTCCAGGAAGAGAAAATATAGAAGCAGATTGTTTGAGTAGAAACCCAGTATTGGATGCAAGCGAAAATGCAGATGAACAATTAAAAATTGTAAACATGATAAAATTAAATGATATCGTTACAGATCAGGTAAATAATGAAAACATTCAAAATAACAAATCAAAACTAATATTAAGACACAATGTTTACTATAAAAAGGTTAGAAAACATGAAAAAAATATTTTATCAGATTTCAGTAAAAAAACTCATTAAAAATGTACATGAAAATATGTGTCATTTAGGTGTAAAACAAATGCAAAACAAAATAAGTACACTGTATACAGCAAAAAATTTATCGATAAATATTAAAAGACATTGCAAAAAGTGTGAGATATGTATAAAAAATAAAACTAGAGGACAGGATAAATTTGGTCTAATGTCACCTTTAGGTCCTGCCACAAAACCTTTAGAAATAGTCTCAATAGATACGATTGGAGATTTTGGAGGCTCACGATCAAAAGATATTTACACCTTCTAGTGGACCACTTTACCCGGTATGCTTATATTGTTACTTCAAAAACACAAAGTGCTAATGATTTTATTAAATTAATCAATAATGTAACGAATTCTGATAAAATTGGATTGCTTTTCACCGATCAATACCCGGGAATCAACTCAAAAGAATTCAAAACATTTTTAAATGAAAAATCTATACCAATGATCTTCACAGCAGTAAATGCCCCGTTTTCTAACGGGTTAAATGAAAGACTCAATCAAACGCTAGTAAATAAAATCAGATGTAAAATAAACGAAAAAAATAATAAAATGGCATGGACAACCATTGCTCATATCTGTGTACAGAACTATAATAATACAGAACATACAGTTACTGGTTTTGCACCAAAATACCTTTTGGATGGTACAGATGTTTCTTTATTGCCAAATGAACTAAAAAAGGATAAAACAGAAGTTGATTGGATAAGAGATAGAAAAATAGCATTTCAAAATACAATTACATCACATAACTACAATAAACAAATCTTTGATAAAAATAGAATTGAAATTAATTTCAATACAGGGGATATGGTATACGTTGAGAATGGGAACAAACTAAATAGAAACAAATTAGATGAGCTGAAGATTGGTCCATTTAAAATCATTGAAAAAATATCAAATTCAATATATAGAATTAATACAGGTTATAAAAAATTAGAATCAAATCTCTTTCATATCACAAAACTTATACCAATGCCTACATAAAAACAGAAATAATGTTATAAATATAAAGACATAATTAAGACAGACTAAATATTATTAAATTTAATATAATATTGTAATATATAGAGATTAATTAGTAGAAAATTTTTGCGAAAATTTTCTTGTTGGAGGAGGGAGATGTAAAGAAACTATATTTCTTTAATATGTACAGCGCTCTTCTGTCAGTGACCATACTCATGTACGCTATAGATGGCTCTGTGAGTAATGGCGGTCAACTTTGTCGGGAAAGCAGCTTATATATGGATTGACAGATGAGTTGTGATGGAGCATAATCATTTTTAGTTAATAAAAATTGTATAAGAAGGAATTGATAATTGGAAGAATAGACTTTAAATGTCGTTTCTTTGTTTTCAGAGCAACACGATTGTTTATTTGACATTTACAATTCCTAATAAGTTTGGAGTTATTGTCTTATATATATATATTATATACAAGAATTGCTCGTTTAAAGCATAAGATAATTTTTAGTATGTGAATTGAATTCAACGTGTAAATGTATGTCACTCTCACAACTGCGATAAATCTGCGTTTTTTCATATGATAATTTCTTGTATTTACGCGTTTATGTATAATACATTTTAAATTAAATTATATTTTATCGTATTTGTTTTTAATTTTATAGTCCCGTGACCATGAAGGGAACGATACGTCGTGAATTATAATATAAATAAACGCGATAAATCCATGAAAATTTTTTCATTTATGATTTTTGATATGTTAAAATCTTGGTAGGATACGTCGGGTATTATAATAGTATAAACAAACGACAAATCCGTAAAAATAGTTTCATTTATGACTTTTCATATGTTAAAATCCATCAAAAGATTTAGGCTGTTGAGTGTGACAAAGGATGAGGCCGACATAAATACTTACGTAAGCTCGAAAAACATTACCCATCTTAAAGTATTAAGGTAAAAATTTACACAAATTCAATGTTCGCGCAATCTATTATCGCATATATTCTAATACAAATTTACCTAAACCAAAAAAGCAGGAACAATTTGTGAGTGAGAAGATCCCTTAAGTAAAAAAAACATGAATATAGTAAAAGTAAGTTTTTAGTTTTAGCTCTAGTATCATATAAAAAATACGAAATCTCCCAAGTGGTCTAGGATAAAGGCTAAATCGCGGAAATGCTTCTGTCTGCACCCCGGGGGAGCGACCATTGAAGGAGGTAGAGCTCAAACTAAAGGAAGATAGACAAACACTATTCAGATGGGTTTTACATAAAACATCTGCCACGATACGGCCCAGGCGAGGGCGACAGTTCCAAGGGCTGAAAAGGAATGAAAAGACAACGGAGAAATGAATAACGAAATGGCCTATAATACTGAACTGAGTAAAACATTGAGATTAATTTGTTCGTGAGGTTAGTTTGAAAATTAAGATAAATTTTCGTATTATAAGTTTTAACCAGATAAAACAGTTTCATTTAATAATGTAGGCGGGAAACAACCAATTTTCCGTCCTACTAATATCTTACATTTTGACATTAAAAATTTTAAAAAGAATATATTTGACGAAATAAAGATCATGATAATGAAAATGTTGGTAAAAGTAAGACTGACTTCTGTTGGTATTTCCCATCATTCCAATATTTTGTGTGGAAGCAAAATTATAGGTACATAAAACTTTAATATTTATTGTCAAAGAATGATCGCGTATTACCCTTCCTTCAATTTCAGCCTGTCGCGATACAAAAGTTAAAGACGAATAAAAAAAGCATAATTTAGATTAGAAGGTACGGTAGGTCTTCCCTATCATTCCAATGTTAAGAAGCAAAATTATATTATACAAAAAAATTGCCCTTACGTCCAATAACCCTCCCTTAAATCGAGCTTGTCCCCGATAGTGATTAAGAAATTGAAGTGTGGGCTTGTTTCTGTAGCACTGTGACCCAATACCTAAGGCCCAAGGAGCCCAATTTTCAAAAGGTTGTCAACGCATCAGCAACCCTCGGGTGTAGCAGATGTTCATGGGCGGCGAAATTCACTTAACATCGGATGAACCGTCAGCTCGCTCGGAAACTTTTCACATTAAAAAAAGACATTCTTTTTAACATATCCGGACCTGCAAATCCAACAGCGACAACGTGAAACATTAGATTACCTGTGAACTTCTTCCCTTCCCTGACCATGTTCGCTAGCCAATACGTCCGTCGGTACAGGTTCAGTATGAGGCACATCGTGGTGTCCGCCACCTCCTCCACGCCGTAGCCGGGCACGTTGCACACGGCAATGCCTAGAATACGCCGTCGTTTTATTTGTTTCTTTATAAGAGGAAGGTGTTGGGACGAACGGTACAGTTGCTAAGATATTGACTTAGGGGTCTTGGGTTCGATTATAACACAGAACAAGTAAATTTGTTCAAAACGCATCTTGTTTCCATGGAGGGTTGATATCATGCAGGCGATGTCTTACAATCAGATGCATAACATTGTACAGTATAATATGGTATAATACGGTATAAGAGCAGGACAATGATAAGAGAAGGGGAGCAACGAGCAAGCGATGTGCCAAGCGATTGTATGCCACCCAACATCATCAACGTCCTGCTGCCCTTATCCCACCTAGGTGGGGTCAGTACAACATGTGAATCATGTTTTAAGCGGTTACGGCTATGTTTTTTACGGCCAGTCGCCTACCGGACTTCAACCCTCCTTGGGGAACAAACACCCAGATCCGTCACAATCACTTGTCACACAAATACTTATCCCGTGTGGGGGAATCGAACTCACGACCCTCGTCGCCGAAGCCAATAGCTTAGCAACGGCGCCATTGATTCATTGATTGTATGCCACCCACTAGAGTTAATGAGACCTGGGATCCGAGTACAGTAACCGAGAACAAACAATTCACATTACATTTAATGTTATCCCATTGCAATTTGCGACTGTTATTTTTAATATTATACCATAATAGCCGTAGCTTTAGATTATTCCGTAAAGAGCGGTACATTTGCAATATTGGTAAATAATGTATATAAATTCTACGGCCAATGTTCTTTCAATCAATTCTCATTTATCCATCCATCCGTTATATTATTTATCGTGCACCACTAATCTTTGTAGTCAACAGCATATTCATTCATTTGTTCGTTATCATTCATTTATTCACTGACCATTGCACTTTGTGAATAAAGTGAATAAATGTCACCTGCGTATCTGTCATTCATTCGCCTATAAAACATGAGCTTCCTCACTCATTGCACGATTTAAATTTGATAAGTGTATATTTTATTCAAAAATTACAAATGTGTACATAAAACTGTCGAAAATTTATACGCCACTGGCGAGATTAGAACCTGCGTCTTCCGAATTACGCATCCAGAGGCTCTAGCAATTGAGCTAAGCTTTCGAAATCCTCGTTGAGCGAAAATCTCGACGTCTTATCGACATAATTTTTTAAGTACATATTTTTAGGAGTACAGCACAAGCAAGCGCAAAGTACGTGCAACTTGCTTGTGCTCAGGATACATTTTTGCAAATGAATATTTGTGAACCAGACAAGTCGCCTTTGCTTTCGAAATTTAATTTTAAACTTTTCGTCCCAGTCTCGACACCGTTTTATCTACACTTATGTGTGTGTTCACAATAACTGTTCCTTTTTTTAAATTAATTCGAAAATAGCAAAAGTGCACACACGACGTCACCCACTCACCCAGTTCGCCGGCCGCTTTGACGTCAATGTTGTCTACGCCCGAGCCTATGCGGACTATGATCCTGAGCGCCTTGAACTTCTCGAGGTCCTCCTTGGTCAGTATGATGGTGTGCCACATTAGGGCGCCCACCGCCTCGTTCAGCACCTTCTCGTGGATCTCGGACGTCGACTGGGCGTCGCAGAAGGCGACCGTCGCGACGTCCTTCAGTATCGGCATCTCTACGGTGCAGTCGCGCCCGTCCAATAACGCCACCAGGGGCCTTTAAGAGAAAAAGTAAAAAAAAAAAACTATAGTAACAGTCCGCATACATGTGCCAGGCCTAGGCAATTTTCTGTGTAATTCATACATCTCACGTAAGTCTGTACAGTATAGGGTTGGATAGTCCCGAAATAGTTAATTTTTCTTTATTTAAAATCAAAATCAAATCATTGAATCATCGAAATAAGAAAAACACATTTCATGTATCGATAGTACTTTGTGTTTAAATGTAATAAATACCCTTTTGTAATGAGGTTCCTCTATCGGAGACGAAACTGGCGAAACTCCGTAGATATCCTCTTTTTGTCAATTTTTGCTTCTTCAAAACATTAAATATATACTTTTTTGTTGAATAACGGCTCGCTTTAATCTATAGAAATCGTGAATCAGAAGGCGTGACATGCGGCCAGTGCCGAGCCGAAGGGGTCAGCTGCAGTTCGTCGTGTCGTATCAAAATTCAAAAATATCTTAATTCACATAGACGCTTGCGCGTTCTTTATGAAACAACAAAACTACATAAAAATCTATACGTTCGTAAGTAAGTTACCAACCGCGTAAACGCGCTGGACCTAACGATCGTCAATTATGGTGACATAAGCAGATGTCATCGAAGCCATGGGCAAACGAGGCGAACGGTCCGCGTAATCTGATTACGGTACCGGTGTATATAACGAAAATGCGACGTTACGCTGTAAGTAATCGCTGCTTAGAGTCATTGATACATACGGTTTTGACCATTCTTCAAACGATATCAAAGGTCTCAATTCAGCTCTACATTCTTTTCCTTTTTGTTGTTACCACACTGTCAGAACTGTGTCATTAGTGTACCGATTTTTTTTTTTCTTGTATTAGATACGGTGTAGGTCTCATGTGGTCATATTTCAATTTCAATGGTAATGGACCTTAAATTCCTGAGATACATCAGGGAAATCAAACCAATATCAAATAGAAAATGTATAGCGAGTGAGATTTTTGAAGTATTTTCTTGCTAAACGTTCTCTTTTTAGGGTTCCACGCAAAATATAAAACGGGACCCTATTACTAAAAATCTATCTTGACTCTGAACAGCAATTATTAGAGTTGAAATTTTAACAAATGATTTATTTCTGTTGCCGCAATAACAACAAATGCTAAAAAACCTTTTAAGTGCGGCTCCGAAACAACATACATGATTTTGTTACTAAACATGTTTTACTTGTGCTAACAACAGACACGTAAGCGATTCACACGATGGCAGGCCGATGCCCACCGCCTATGAAAGCTGGTCACATCAAAGGCGTGTTTATTGAAATGGTAAAACAAGAGTACAGATACTTGTTACGGGGATAGTATGGCGAGCGAGCCGACTTTAGGAACAAACTCCTTAATGATAAGCCACAATGTACGACCTTCAGTAAGGAATATGGGAAGGCATATATCAGCAGTGAATTGACATAGACGGATGATGATGATAGATACATTACGTATTGACTATTTAACTCACTTCTAGCTGACAGCAGTATTAACGGCTACCCCTTTAATTTCATGATTCTTCGCACCAGGAATCAAGTGTGACGCTTTGTACCTACGTCTCAAATAAAACTACGTAATTATATAAAAATTCTATGAATGTAATTATGTATCAATAAAGTACGAGGATGAAGAAAATCACAGAGATTTCAATTTTGGTTCAACAGAGTCTCGTATCAAAAGGACATCTTCGCAAAATACGAATCAAAAGGAATCGATTACGGCTTTTGCACAAATCGTTAATATAATTCGTAAACCTAAACTTGATAATTCTCAATCTAGTTATTCTTCTTTATACGCCATAACGCGTTAATTACGCATTTTCCTGAAGTTACAGTCAATTCCGAACACTTGTAAACAGTTACTTTTTTTAAAACGGGACGCAGTCTTCATTATCCGTACATGACAGACTTCAATACAACATACATGACATCGCATACACAAGTGTAAATATCTAAAACAATGTTTTTATATTGTATGATGTTACTTTTAGACGGGTACGTGCAGTAATTATTCCTGTAAGGTCACTTAACAGCAGTGAACAAATCTGTAAAGTAAAAATATATATAGCAACGCTTTGTAGATAAGATAAAAATACCCGTCACTAAAAACGAGATGTGCCGGTATATACCTTAACCCCTCTGGTGATATTTTGTAAGGATGAGCGAAGCGATACATTTATTAGACACGTGATAAAATGAACCAAGCCCTGTCTTACTATTCCACACTTTTCACTTCAAATTTTTCAATCCCATAAAATGACTTCTGTGCATGCTATTGAAAAATTTGAAATTCCTACCTGTTATCATAATGGTTCCGTGTAACTAAAAACGATAGTGGTTTGGAAAAAAATAGCTATAAAAACGTTTATGAGAAACACGGGTGAGATAATTTAAAACTATTGTCCATTCAATTTATCAGTTAATGTTTTCTGTAGTTTAAATAGCTAACATAAACACTTCATTCCCTTTTTTATAGTAAAGTATGAAAAAAAAATAGTAATATTATTTAAGAACGAATGTTTGCTGACTCTAACACGGATTGTACTGTACAAATACGTATAATCCTAATGCAAATGACCGTTCAGTCAGCAGCAAACTGAATATAAACAAGTTAAATTAACATATTACAATACGGCAGCACACAGCACATTGTTACATACACGTCTAGCAGAACTAAACGCGTTTTCGAGCAATTTAACTTTACTACTTGTTCGATGGAACTCTAGGGAAAGAAAGTACCCGAAAGTTTTTCTTTTATTAACCTTTAACTGATGACCTCGACGCCACTTAACCGATCGAAGACTACCTACCTACTTATGCTTTAATCACACTCAAATTTTAATCAGAGAAAGACGTTGTCTATCGACAAATAAAGCCGTAGTAAGCATGTCGCCATTGTGATCCAACAAAGAGCAAAGTCGGGGTGTTGTGATTTCTAAATTGATAACGGGCTTCCGACCTACTTATAGAAACTTGACGGTCTTCGCGTACAACTTTGTGCTACGAAAAAATAAACATAAATAGAAGGATAAAATGGAATCGACCCAAATGAGTCTCAGACTATGGCTAATTAAGTCCAGTACTGATCACTTGGCATGGTTATCATCATCAGGCCGAATCAGTGTTCATTCGGGCGTACACTCTTTCCTAATGCATGAAACAGCTCGATCTTAAATCTCTCAATCCAAGATCAAGTAAATAATAATAAACTTATGTGTTAAAAAAAACTTATGAAACATACGTAGGCTCGGAAAAACACAATGCAGGTAAAATAAAAATTTCAAAATAACAAACGGCACACGCACATTATCGTTAACGACGACGTAATAAATGTAGCAATGGGTCCTTTTAAGTAAAATGGAAACGCTATGCCGTTTAAGCGTTTAATTAATCACTATAATTGCAAGTCGCCAAATAAGAGGGCCGAAAAATTGCCCGCCAATAATTTTTATAATACGATTGCGCAATCCTCTAATTAGCAACGTAATGTCCGCAACTTGCAATGCTTTTTGTTCCGATTAATTTAAAATACCAAATTGTTAAGCGATTTCATTTTCAGAGTTCCATTAAGTATTGAATATTCCATTCTTAATTTTTTTTATTTCAATCCATTATTTCTGTTTATTTATGAAGGTGGTAGGTATATCACAGTTTAGGTACAAGGTAAGGTTTACATTTTTGATCGTGATTTTAACAGAGCTGGTAAAGAAGAAAATATAATTCGCGTCAATATAAGAAATATTTATTTACATTTTAGCTTTAATTAAAATGTAAACGTTTAATGATTTACTTATATTTTTTTCCCTCATATCTATATGAAAATTACTCATTACATAGAAAAAAATGTTACCGATTCGCTTCATCGATGTCACATACACTACAGATATATACATCTCCTGAAGAGCTTATACAAGTCGGCGACAATGACAGTACAGCTGAAAGAGCCAACAGATCGTATACGAGTTCAAAGAGGAGTCCGACAAGGAGACGTTATATCCCCTAAGCTATTTACCAACGCTTGGAGGACATATTCAAGACATTGGACTGGAGTGGCAAGGGAATAAATGTCAATGGTGAATATCTGAGTCACCTGCGCTACGCTGATGATATAGTCATAATTGCTGAGCACGCTGAAGACCTGCAACACATGCTGGAGCAACTATATCAGGCGTCCCTGCGAATAGGTCTTAAGATGAATATGGAGAAGACCAAGGTTATGGCAACAGCCGATCTCACACCGAACTCCATTTCATTGAACGGGCAACCACTGGAGCAGGTGCAGGAATACACTTACCTAGGACAGGTAATAAGGCTTGGTCGGGACTCGATGATGGCAGAGATGAGACGAAGGGTAATGTTGGGATGGGCAGCCTTCGGGAAGCTGAATCGCGTGCTTAAGTCCAAAATTCCCCAATCACTTAAAACAAAAGTGTTTAATCAATGCGTTCTTCCGGCTATGACATATGGATGCGAGACATGGACACTGACTGCTGGGTTGATCCACAAGCTCAAGGTGACGCAGCGCAACATGGAGCGAGCCATGGTCGGCATAACGTTACAGGACCAAGTCCGGAACAAGCTCATCAGACGTCGCACGAAAGTGGTCGACGTGGGCCACCGAGTAGCGAAGTTAAAGTGGCCTTGGGCCGGACACATGTGCCGAAGAAAAGAGGAACGTTGGAGCAAGCGCGTTCTGGAGTGGAGACCCCGGCTAGGCAGGAGAAGTGTGAGCAGACCACCAGCCCGATGGTCCGATGACATAAAGGAGACAGCAGGCCCAGTCTGGACAAGGGAAACAAAGAGTCGTGCCAAATGGAATAAAATTGGAGAGGCGTATGCCCAACGGTGGGCGAACAAACGCTGAAGAAGAAGAAGAAGAAGAAAAAAATGTGTATAAAAAGGAGATGTTAATTTTATACATAGGTTTTAGTTATCGTGAAAAAACTGTGTGAAAGGACTGTTTGTTATTCATGGTTGAATAGCAAACTGA